AAAGGAAATCTCATTAGCTTCTACACTCTAACAAATAAGATTCTGGGGGCTGGGGTTTAGCTCAGTGGTACAGAGCTTGCCTGGCAAGCACAAGATCGTGAGTTTGATTCCTGGTACTGGGAAAAAAAAAAATAAATAAAATAAAATAAAATAAAATTCTGGCTGGACTTAGACTTTAAAGTTGTAGAACAAGATGTCCAAAGTTAGTGGGACCAAATTTAAGTCAGGGTTAAAGTTGGAAGCTCTATTACAACAAAATATGTTGTTAATTTATGGAAAAATATAAGACATTCTGAGGTATGAAAGACTCAGAGAACATACCATATTCTTTTTAAATGAGTTTAAGAGATACTTCAGTTGATTGAAAGAGGCAGAAGAAAAGTGTAGAGCAGACATGGCAAGAAAAGACCAGGAGGGAAATAGGAATGATGAAAACAGATTTACATTAATATTGTCCTCATAAATATGAATCAGTGTATAAATTAATTTTTAATTTTTGCTTTTTAATTGTTATGACAATTGACATGATGCATAATTTACAAAATGTTAAATAAAATAATGAGTTCTCTAACATAACTGACCCACCTAGGGTCCTACCAACTGGATCCTGAGGCTGGAATTCAGAGGGGAGGAACGGGAAACATTTTTTTCCACTGGCTTCATGAACACCAAGCACTTCTTTAAGATTCTTTTCAAATTCTTCCTCTAAGTGAGGTCCTACTTGAGCCAAGTTGGAAGCCAAAAGGGAAAAAAAGTAAACAAACAGATGCCTAAGGACGAAGGTTCAGATGCATCAAATCACTTGTGTTATTTTAGGAGCTCAGCAGTCAGGCAGAGTGGGCGGTAGGATGCTGCTGCTGCTGCTGCTGCTGTTGTATTGAGAAAGGTGAACATCAACTGGTTGTTGTGAACTTGGACCTGACAGGCAACCTGGATGCAAGAGTTGGTATTGATTCCTGCAGAGCCTAAACATTGTGCAACGTAGACAAAGGATACTTCCATTTCCTGGAAGTCCACTCTGTGAAGGAAGGATGACCCTTCTCTACTCTGAGGCTCAGGCTGTGCCTGGTATGAAGGTTCTGCCTGCTCTTGTTCTTTTTCTCTCCAGGCCCAAGTTTGCACACCACTCAGCAGTTTGTAGGCTGGGAATGCACTGGCTCTTGGCACTGAGGAACAGAAGGAGGCTGGTGGAGATGAAAATCTTTCTTAGATGCCTCCCAAGGAAGATCCATACAACTGAGATTAAAACTCAGGACAAACCCAGTAACTGAATTTTAAAATGCCTTTGATGGCAAGATAGCTCTGCTGATTTTTCCCTAATAAGAACTTATTATTAGTAATAAGAAATTTTAATGTCCTACTATTATAATTATAGCAACGGCAAAGAAATACATGAAATAGATACATTTTTTGACCACTGTGCCATTATTATTATTACTTTTTTACTATAGAGCTTAGAACTTATATTTGGCCTCTATTTTGTAGATTTAAGACCTTTTATGGAGACTGGCTTTGGACAGTGTAAACATATAAGGCCTGGAGAAGATAACAATTCAGTGAGTCTGGTAACCTTCGAATATTTGTTTAACTGTTTTTTTTTCTCTTTTTTCTTCTTTTTTTTTGGTACCAGGAATCGAACCCAGGACCTCATGTTTTCCAAGTAGGTGCTGTGCCACTAAGCTATATCCCCGGACCTTAACTGTTATTTTTTTAGGCAAAGCGCTAACAGAGGCAGAAGTCTATAAGGGCAAAAATAAGAAATAAAAATAGAAAAGAAATTGATATGAGTTAAAAAAAATTTTTTAAATGAACCAACTGCACATACTTTAACCAGTTATTAAAAGCAGATTAACAAACAGACAGATTAACAAACAGACAGATGGGCAAGAAAACATAGACCACATAAAACAATGACACTAAATCAAAGTGCACTTTTAGGTGAACTGGCTGTGTCAAATTATACTAATCCATTTTTTTTTTTAGTTTTGGATTTACAATATAGATTAGTCAGAATTTTCACTAGGGGATATCAATTAGAACTTTTCTATGTGACTGTATTTTCTTTAATAGTCTGAGTACTTCTTTCTGTTAATTAACATTATAGACTTATAACCAGTAAGAATCAGAAGAGGGAGAGAAGAGCCGTAAGTGGCTAAATGGGACCTTGGTCCATTTCCCTCCTTCTTATAAAATCAGCTTGTTGGGCTGGGGATTTAGCTCAGTGGCACAGTGCCTGCCTGCTAAGTGCAAGGTCATGAGTTTGATTCCTGATACCGGAAAAAAAAACAAAAAAAATAAAATCAGCTTGTGCCCTTGTCTTTTTATTCGTTAACTTATATTTTCAGGAATGTAGAGAAAAAACAGGTTTTAATATCTTCCATTTTAAGTTGGTCTTAAGTTCATGAAATGTAACCTAAAGATGATGTTTTGGGGACAGATGTTGAGTTCCCCATACTCATTTAACGGGCATTGCATACCTTCAAGATTTCCCTTTTGTACTTTTGAAAAGAAGTACAAGAAAAAAACAAAGGAGAAAAGACAAAATCTCAGGTGCAGATTTCCTGACTGGAAGCCCCTTGTTTCCTAAGGTTGCACGTGCCCTTGAGTGGCGGTTCTATTTTGTTTCCCAGGGTCAAACTACCCTGTTTCCCAGGGTCAAACTGTCCAAGAGGCAGCCTGCCTTGTTTTCTGGCATGTCTAGTCTGCTTTCCCTGCCAGTCTTGCAGAAATCTGTCTCAGGATCGGACAGTACTAGCCAGTCCCATGGTTGTTACCACTGCAACAAGTGTCCTTGTCCCCAGCACACATCTACTCCAACCTTCATCAGCAGATCAGAAAGGCAGGGAAAAATAAGTCATACACAACATCTGAGCCTTACAAAAAAAAATCACCCCTAAAATCTTTATATCTAGGGACCTGAAACACACTCATAAAGGGTTTTTAAAGTCTAGAGATGCCACTTTGTAAATATAAATCACATACCATTTTAGATAGGGAAGTAAATTTGAGGCTAAATTTGTCATAAGAACACCCAGACCAAGCCGGCTGTGATTGTGCATGCCTGTAATCTCAGCACTAGGGAGGCTGAGGCAGGAGGATCTCTGTGAGTTAGAGACCAGCCTGGGCTATGTAGTGAGTTCAAGGCCAACCTGGACTACATAGTGAGATCCTGTCTCAAAAATAAATAAATAAATAAAAGACTACCCAAACCAGATCAAACAAAATGGAGGAAGGGAGGCAGCTGGCATGACAGAAGTGACCCTGTGAGGTCCCAGCAGGGTGGACGGGTAGCTCTCGAAGCCAGGGAGGGCAGGGAGACATGCTGTGGACAGTCACAGAGGGCTGAGGCAGAGCCCTTCTTGTAGTCTGTGGCCAAAGCACAGGTGTCCTTAAGGCACATCCCAGTAAAGGGGAAAACCTGTCCCCTCCTGCTCCCCAGCACAGCCTGGAGTCACTGGCTGAGGAGGAGGGGAGGGCAGCCTCAGTCACGCCAAGTCACCCAGTAGCCACCTGCCAGGTCTTCTCACTCGTCCTCGGAAACACAGGGAGCACGCGCTCCCCGTTCCTCCGCGCTGGGGCAGCTGGTGAAGAGCTCGTGGGCTTCTGGGCCTCTGTTGACCTAGCAGCTTGGGCGCAGTTTTATTTTCTTTCTCTTCCTCCATCAGCACCAGCACACCGGTGGGAGCCGCCCGGAGGGCCGCTCCCTTCCCCACCCCGGCAGAAGCGCAACACCCAGGGCTGCGAGAAAATTTCCTGAGCTCCGGGATCCCACGGATTCCCCTTGCCCTCCAGCTCCCTGGGAACTAATGTGGGAAAGTTAGGGGGCTTGAGTTTTCCAACAGGGAGCACTTCAGAGTGGGGGCGGAGAAGGACAGGGAGGGGACTGGGGTTTACTGCAGGGAGGGGACCAGCGGGCTCCGTGCTTTGAGTCCCAAGGGCAGTGTCAGCTGGAATTGAAGGATGTGAGAACCACGGGGCTTAGGATGTGTTCCCAGTCACACAAAAGAACAGCTGTGGCATTAGCTGGACCAAACTTATGCCCTTGGGTTTTGAAAGCAGGAGAGATGGGGTGGGAGGGGGAGGGAGGGAGAGAGGATTAAAAGAGAAGTTTAGTGGATCTCTGAGCACATCCAATGAACACACTCAGGACATACAATTACTCACCTGGAGCTCACAAGAAAGCATGCGACACCCTCCCCCTGCATGTGCAAAGGCCCGTCCCTGCAGTAAGCTTCAGGGCATGACCTGGTCAGCTACAAAGGGCTCTATTCAGGACTCCGGGGAGTAATCATTGACCCTTCAGGCCCCAGCCGCCAACACATTTCAGGCACGTTGTTCTGGAAGCAGCACACTGCTCACTTAGAGATTTTGCTTAAACCCTCTCATGCTGTTACTTCCAAATTGGCTGTTTGAGTCCCCCCTGCCCCCCAGGGCTCTAGGATTTGTCCAGCAGCACCACGACAGGCATTCGCAACAGTGTCCTCGGTTCATTCACTGTAGGGCCGCTCGCAACCTCTCCTCATGCCTCCTGGGGGCCCTGGACCACTCCTGATGCGCGTGGGCTTCTGCTAAAAACAACAGCAACAAAACCCCCCCACTGCGTGCCGTGGGAGCAGCACCTGCTGGCTGCACCTGGCCCTTGTGGAGATGGAGGCTCAGAGCCCTGGGTATCTCATGCTGCAGCCCTCCCTGCCTGGGATACCTCGGGTCGAAGAGACGGAACCCCACAACACAAGCACAGACGCAGTGGGGGCGTATCCGCCTCAGGTTTCCTTGTACACACATACAGAGCTGGACACGGTGGACACTGGAGAGTGGCAGCGACATGCTAGACAACCTGGCTGCGGAAGAGACCTGCCTTGGTCCATCCTTGCTCAGAACCGGCCTTCACTCTCGGAGCCCAACACGACCTCTGGCAGGTGGGGCCAAGAGTGGGCCCTGGCCATGGTGCACCGCTGACAGGTGGCGTTAAAGACTCCGAAGGTCTATAGTATCATGGCTATTAATTAATGTTCTGGATTTTAAAGATCTTTATTTTTTTTCAGGTTACAAAAGTAATAGTCACTATAAAAATTCCAAGTGTACATAAGTATAGACTGCAGAAGGCAAAGGTTCCTGTAATCCTACCCAATTTTTCTGGTTACAATAGTCATTATAAAAGTTCAAATAGTACATAAGTGTATCGGACAGAAGGCAAAGGTCCCTGTAATCCTCTCCCAGAGTGAGTGCAGTTGATTTTTCCAGAGACTTTTTCAGGACAGACCCCCCTATTACCAGACTGGATTCTTTCCACACACTGTCACCACCGTAAGCTTCCTGAAGACCTGTTTCCCCTTGGCTGAAGGATCAGTGGCTGTCTTAGTTTACTTTCTGTTACTACAACTGTATACCACAGACTGAGTCAACTACAGACAATAAATGTGTAGTCAGCTCCGGTTTCAAAAGCTTGGAAGTTCAAGACGGAGTGGCCTCACCCGGTGAGTCCCAAGCAGAGCAGGACATCACACGGCAAGCAGACAGTTCTAGTTCAGGCTCGCCTCCTCTTTTTATAAAAGAGGAGCCTCACCACCCTTTTGGTTGAGGACCCCACTTTCATCAGCTTAACCTTTAGCTTTAACCTTCATTAGCTCCTGAAGGTCCCACTTCCAAATACCATAGCTGGATTAATCTCACAATGGAGATTATATTTCAACATGAGTTTTGGTGGGGACATTCAGACCCTAGCAGCACCTACAAATACATGTGTCTTTAAAAAACTCATTCTGCTCATTCTGTAGACGTATTGGTTTATTTGATAATGTCGATGCAATTTCTGCTCTTCCATAATATTTTTCTATCATGATGTTTCAAGGAGCAGCTCTGATTCCCAAGGTATTTCAAAGCAGTGTGAAAGAGATGGTTTGTACCTAAATGGTAGTAGAGGACCTCTGCCTTACACTCGGCATGTACGGCCAAGGGCCAGGCTAGTTTCCTGGGCACCACTGCCTTCAGTGGACATTCACCTCCAGGAGGACCGAAGGCCAGAGAGTATGTGTAAGCAAGAAAAGAAGCTGGTGCACAAGTTCATGCGGCAGAGGGCTGCCATTCCCCTGGAGGCCTGCCCGAGACGCATACAACCTTGCTCTTCCCGCCTGATGCTACTGAAAATAAGCGCAGAGCGTTGGCGAAACTTGGTATTCAGCTGAGGATGATCCTCCTGCCCTGGCACAAACTGCTCTGGTCCCGTTTAATGCTATATCTGCTTTTCAAAAGAGCATCTATTTCTGACACCCATGGTTTGCAGTCACCCCAATATCCAGATCTTTTCCAAGAACACATGGACATCCCCAGCTTTTGTCTTGACTTTTATTTTGGAGAGCCGTTTACTTCACCATGGAAACCATCGCGCGTGTGCCAGTGTAGTCTCAATGAAGACGCTGTATCCGAATGTGAGCCGTGGGCTGGAAGCCGGGCTGAGGGAGAAAAGGCAGCAGGAATTTACCTTCTGAGTGCCTTTCTGGTGAGAGCTGTTGCTGGAGGACAGAGCAAAATTCCATTCTGAAACAGAGAAGCAGTAGATGGATGAGATTACTCTGCAGCTCCTCTGCTGTTAGTTCCAAAGTTCTCCCTTCCTCATAAGGATCGGTACCTGGTCCACGCCATAGCTTCAAACCCAAGGTGTGTAAAAGAAAAACCAGCTCCTCCCCACCGTCTTCTCCTGGACTGCACTTACTGATAACACCGCTCTGTCCCTGTTATTCAAACCCCATCCCTTTCCTGTCCTTCCCTTCTCTTTCCATTTCTTCCTCTCCAGGTAAAAATCCTTAAAATTTCATCCCTTTGCGAATGACCCTGGGGGCAGTGTGCTGGGTCCTGGCGTCACAGAGACTAGGCCCCTCCACGGTCATCTCAGGACACGAACAGTGCCACAGGAGACCAACCATGGACACGAAGGCCCGGAAACGCCTCAGAGAGGCTCCAGTGAGCCCGGCCCTCGGTGGGCACTAACCGGGTAGAGCTCACAGCGTGGCTACCGCAAACCCCTCTGTCTTTAGCTGGTTTCTTTCCAATCCACTTGCCCCAACCCACCAGACTGAGCTGCTTCAATCTCTCCTGATCTCAAGTCCCTTTGCCTCCATTTAAAATTCTCCTACTATTTTATTTGCATTTAAGGACATCACCGCCAGCACCAATCTGAGTTCCCATTCTTGACACAGGACATTTTTTAAATGAGGACTTAACTCTTTCTAAATTTCAGAATCATGCTGTTGAATCCAAACGGAAATTTCTTCACTTTTCAGCTATACACCCACCACCCTTCTATCCTTCCCCGGTCATAATACCTCTATTAGTTGTGCCAGGGTCTGCCCTCCGCAGCGCACACTCCTCCTCCAGTTTTTTGATCTCTCCCTCTTTCCTTCAACTGTGAATTCTTTTGGTGAGACCCAAGTTCCCTTCTCATTCTGAATGCTCTTCTCTGAGGCTCCTGTAAAGGAAAGACAGCCCATTCCTGGGTCCACCCCGACCCTCCAATCTCCTAACTATGGTATTCCACTTTCCTGGGTCAGACGGGATCCTGGTAAGGCCGGGAAGTGGCAGGGGAATCTGGGTTCCATCTCTCCTAGTTTGCAAGATGCTCGGAATCCGGCCCGCATGTTAAGAGAGTGGGACGGACTCTGTATTTCTCGTGACACCAGCATGCAGCATGGACACAGTGCTGAGCGTGGCGGGGCCCACGGATGAGTTCCAGGCAGGAGTGGAGAGCTCTGGCTGCCAGACACAGCACAATATGGAAAGTCTGAGAGCGCCTTCTTAGGAAGCCCCGCTTTGCCTGCAGCCTGGCTAGCAGGTCCTGCTCCTGCTCAATTACATACACGAGCCCCTGTTTCCCTTCTAGCAGTTCCTTCACCCTGGAGTCAAAGAGCGGAAGACCACAGAACTCACCACCTTGTTCCATTTTCTTCTTGTATAAAATCCCCTTCACCTCACCACAGGTCACAGGAAGGGTAGGGGAGAAGAAATCCACGGTGTTCTCTGTGGGGTTTTCTGAAAGGAGGAGAGAACAATGTGACCTTACTCCATCTTCATTTACTCTCCTCTTGAATGCTTCCTTCCCAGGAATTCTGGTAATAATCACAATAAACATTAATATAAATGGTATCAGGAAGACTCATTTCGAGTGTCAAATTTGTTTTGAACATGAGGTAGGAAAACGAAGGCAGGTAACAAGGAGACAAGGAAAATCGTTATTGTGAAATTGTATTTTTAAGAAAAACAGCCAGGGGTGGTGGCACACGCCTGTAATCCCGGCACTTGGGAGGCTGAGGCAGGAGGATTGCTGTGAGTTTGAGGCCAGCCGGGGCTACAAAGTGAGTTCAAGGCCAGCCTGAACTGCATAGTGAGACCCTGTCTCGAAAAAGAAAAAGAAAGAAAGAAAGAAAAATAGCAGCTGCAGGACACAAAAGTTACTCAAGCCTTGCTCCCTTTGAGGACACTTACTCACACACACACAAATTTCTAAGGGCCTTAAAGACACAACAATCCTGTAAACTGGGCTCTGGGGCTGTGCTTTTCAGCTGTCCACAGAACTCCCTCCCACAGCCCTTGATCCTGAAGGAAGCAGTGATGTTAGTGCGCAGCGTGTCTCTTCTTCAAACACACGTGAATGGCGTGTGTGCTCACACGGCCACCATGGCAACCTGTCAGACGCAGCAACACACATCCGAGATCCCGTATCGAAGACATTCACAGCGCCCCATAAAGATACCCAGGGCCCGTCCATGCTGCGCCCCTCCTGAGGGCCCGCGCTCTGAGTGTGTACTTTGAAAATTCTGCCTCATACACCTCCTCATGCCTCTCACTGATGCGCTGTGAAAGTTCTTTTCCTGTGCTGAAATCCACAAACCTGCAACCTACCCCAGAGGCGGGGTGAGGTGAAGTCCCCACTTCCTTCTTGGGGACTTCCTTGGACCTCGTCCAGCGACACATAGTTTCCCGTGAACAAACTGCCATGGTCACCTTGGCATCAAATAACACATTTTAGTAGAAAACACAGGACTTCTTTTAAATGTGCTTTAGTTTGCAAGTGAACTGGCCACCGCCCAATGTCCTTCAGCACTAGGCAGAAGCCTGCTGCTCCCTCTGTGCTGACGGACACCGCCTCCCCCAACTACCGCGTAAGCAGAGAAGTCTTTGTAGACAACCTTGTTCCTGATGCAAACTAAGATTTGCGTGGGTGAGATGGCTATTACTGAGGGGACGGTTTAAGTCTTCGTTGTTTGCTGTCACTTGTCCTTTTATTGCTTCCTTGTTCCTTCCTTTATAAGAAAACCTTGGAGCATTCGAGATTATTCTGCCCATTGCTCGGGGGAGACCTGGCAGCTCAGAGCCTCAGAGCAGGCATCTTGGGCTCAGACTGAGGAGCAGCAACTGTAAACGGGGCTAAAATAAACACCAGCAACTCCTGCTCCCTTCCCCTCCGACATCTCTGTTGTCGAACTCGTCGCAGGGCCGTCGTTCTTGTGCTCAAGAGGGAGGGCTGTTCATGACCGCGCTGAGTTACGGAGGACGCCGCACGCGCGGCGGGCCAAGGTGAACACCTGCTCCAGGGCTCGCTCACCTCCCTTGCTGGAAGAACCAGAGGATAACATATGCACAAGCAAGAGCAGCGTTGGAAAAAGGGAAGAACAGCATCAGGGTGAAGAAGCCATTCATTGCTTTGGAAAGATCTGAAGCAGAGTCAGGCTGAGAGGAGGGACCCCCGGGAAGTGATGTGCCCCCCACAGAGCCCCAAAGGATGCCCAGCCTGGGAGGAGCAGGGGCTGGCAGCAGGGCTAGGCATGGGGGTGGGGGTGAGGGGATGGGCTGGGTGGGAAGAGCTTCGCTTCAACAGTTGGCCCGCCTGCTCCATACTGTGGCCAGCTCTCCCCGGCACCAAGGCCCCACTTACATCCAGTGTAGGGGTGAGGCCTGGCCCTGGGAGCTAGGCCCAGCGGGCTGTCACCCCGCCTTTGCTGCAAGGATCACATCAGCGTGCATCCTGTGGTCCAATGCGACTGGCCGACTGCCGCTCCCTGGACCATGACTGCAAACCCCAAGGGGATAAGCACAGCCGTGGGGACCTTCTACAGTTCTCTGGCTCCAGGAAATGTCTTCTCTTGTGGCCCATGGTAAATACGGCTCCAAGGGATGCAGATGTCCTGGATGTTCTGGCAAGAGGTGGAGGTGGCTTTGGAGTTAACGGCACAAGCATCACCGTCTCTACCCGATGCAGACATGTGTGCGGGGCCTTTAGGCCTGGTGACTTCCAAAGCCCCCGTGCTACCCCTGAGGGCAGCTTTCTGGCCCGTTCCCAGGCCTGCGGAGCTGGCTCAGCCTCATGGGACCCGGAAGGCCTGCCCGGGACTCCCGCAGCAGCCAGCGCGTTTTCGAAGGAGACAACAGCAGCGACCGACTGGGATCACAATCAGGAAGTGCACGCAGAAAACAGGGAGCGCGAGTCGGCAATGGAGGAGTAGCGCGCGCGGCAGTGAAGAGGATAACGCAGGGAATGAGAGGACAGCCCACAGACACAGAGCCCTAGTCAGCAAGTGCTAAGCACACACCTGGTCAGCGAGCTGAAGACGAACTCCTGGGACTCGTCAGGGAAAAGGCACCAGGTGAAGGTTACGGGTGGAAAGACGAGAGGCCTAGGGAAAGACCTGGAGCTTCGAGATGCACAGGGGGCCTGGGGTCGGGTGAGGGCAGACGGGGGGTCAGTGGGGCTGGAGAAGTCGCCAAGGAAACAGCAAGAGCAGCGCCCCTGCATCCCTCACCCTCCAACGGTGTGCGGTAAACAGAAGCAGCGATCACCCTTACTTTACAGAGGGGGGGTGTAGTGCTCATAACTAGCAGGTGCCTGGACTTATTTACTAATTTTGTTAGTACAAAGAGCAAAAGGCCTGGAATTAGAACCACCTACGTCAATTTTAGCTCATGCAAGTCTTTAGCCCTTTAATTGAATCTGTAAAGTTGGCTCTCACCGTGAAGATCAGATAACAAAATGTAGAGCTAGGCGCTTTGCCAACTGCAAAGTGATACACCTACTTAGAGAGTTACATCAGGGCCTCTGCCGTGCGCTCACCGAGCCAGGGCGCATGCTAGAACAAGCACATCTGTACGCTTAGACAACAATCTTCCAGCAGAGGGCAGCAAAGGCCTGGGTTTAAAGGTACTGTGTTAAGGGCCTCTCTTTGCAGTTCACACACTTGCACTGTCCTGGGCCCTGATACTGGGGCTCATTCTTGCTGCAGGAGGATGCCCAGTGGCTTGGCTTGTCACTAGGTACGAACTGTGAGGTACCGAGGACCTGGACACAGAGCGGGACAGGACGAATGCACTTCCTGACCTCCTGGGGCTCTCACCCAGTCAACCCGAGGCGCTCAGATCATGAATCACAGCTGTGGTGGGTGCCAGGGCGAACGCACCGAGGGGAGTCTGTGGGTGTTCAGGGAAGAGAAGAAGGAAGAGGAGGGAGATTTCTTTCAGGGTGTGTGTGAGGGGCACACAGGAAAGGGGCCCCTGAGTGGGAAGGAGGGGAGGAGTCGGTGCTCATCGGGCCTGCGAGGTGAGAACTCTAGTGTGGACCTTCTGGAAGGAAATCACAGCTTGCGCTGTGGGAAATTGGCCAGGGAGTGCAAGTGGACGGAAGGCCAAGAATGTTACCAATGCCAGAGTCTTAGATTTTTGTATTTTACACACACACACACACACACACATTACAGATTCTAGGAGCAAATAAGGCAATGGACAGCCTTAAAAATATCAAAAGGGCTTTTAAAGGAAGGAGTGAGGCATGGAGCAACGGTTGGTCAGTTCTAGGTGGTTTTGCCTCAGGGGACCAGTGATGCTACTTGGGAATCTCTGCCGGAGCGGGAGGCACCTGCTACCGTACCTAGCGGCCAGTGGCCGGAGGTGTTGCGGGGTATCCCGTGATGCACACGATGGCCCTGCAGTGAATTACCTGACCCCCAAACGCCAATGGTGCCAACGTTGGGAAACTGTCATAAGCCGCATTGCTACAGATAAACCAATTTGTCTATTTCAGTAACAAACAAGGCCTTCCCAACTAACAGCTTCTCAAGTAATTTAGAAGACAAAAACAAGCCTGGTGTGGCAGCACCGCCTACAATCCCAGCTACCTGGGAAGCTCAGACAGGAGGACGACAATCTTGAGCCCAGCATGGGCAATTTAGAGAGACCCCGTTTCAAAATAATACATTTGGGATATAGCTCAACGTGAAGGCCCTGAGTTCAATTTTTAGTACCACAAAAAATAAAAAAAACAAGCAAGCAAACAAAAAAGACAAAAAACAAGATAGAAAAACCGCAGAAGGCATCACACAAGGTTAACTGCCCTATATGATTAAACAGAAAAATGAACAGTTCTTTATAAAAATCCGTAAATATAAACATTATCTTCAAAAGAAAAATTTAAATGAGAAATTCATTTAAAAACAGGTTTGTTAGTAAAGATAGGCTAAACAGTGGTACAGTGAGTCAGAAGTCTGAGTTTTATTACAGGAGCTGGGAAACTACAGTCCAGGGGGCCAAACTGCCCTGCTGCCCATGGTTTTATTGGAACCCAGCCATGTCTAGTTGTCTATACATTCGTCTCTGGCTGCTTCTGCTCTAGCAAGGCAGAGTTGAGTGGTTGTGAGTAGTTGATCAGCACGCAGCCCTTTGTCAGCGCACACCATCAACATCAGCAGTTGATGCTCAGGCCCAGCATCACGTTTGTGTTATAATGAGCTTTTGTCCTCTCAGTCCTCCCAGAAAGGTCACATGAGAAATATGGAGATTGTACAGATGCTCCTCACCCCCAACTCTATGACCTGTAGAGTATGTTGGGGGTGGGCGTCTCACTACATGGCTCATACAGACCATCTGTGCCTGCCTTAAACTTGGGATAAGAAGAATTTAAAGGGCTATTTGGGCTCTACTACTTTACTGAGAAATTTCTTTCCAATAATCTTGTATTTATAACTGCATCAGATTTTGTTAGTGGTGTTTGTGACCCCCTCTGCGTAACACAATAATAAACTGTGCTTAGACAAATTATTCTTTGTCAGGTCGTTATTCAAATCTGGGATACAGGAAATATATTCTTTCTCATTCTTTTATTTGTGCCTGTATGTTGCCATCTGAGGGAGACCATTATGAAGCAGCTCTGAGCAGGACTTATATTAACCAGTTGGCTTTCCATGTTTACTTGTGAGTCACTGGTCCCTACTGAGGCCTGTAATGGTGGGTGAAGCCCTGAGGCCTCAAAGGATGAGACAAGGACTTTTGGCTCTAACCTCAATTAACTAAAAGGAGACTGGAGCTGCAGACATCTCACTCCTGCGGTGAAGGCCTTCCTGGAGATAATACAGTTCTCCTAAATGAACATAATGTATTACTTAGAGAAGTCTGTAAAGGGATTCCCAAGTCCTGCAGAGATTCCTGCATTTTCTTCAGTATTCCCCTCCTTTGTTTGAAAACATTTATTTAAATGCAGTCCACCCAGGAAAGTCTGGGTCGGAGCAGCCTGATCAGCCCTGAATAGCTAAGGGTTATTAATCCGATAGCTATGTAGCCTAAAAGAGATATTGTATGAGTAATTACATTAGATTATGTGGAATCTCCCAAAAAAACAGTGCTGGGTGCTACAGAAAAATGTAGTAAGACCAATTTAACTAATTCAGGGGTCAGAATATTCCTTCTTGCGGTAAACATTTATGCCAATACTACTGATAAAAAGGAGCTAGCCAACATTTATGGAGAGTAGAGTGGGCTAAAAATGTACCATTCAAGGAGGAGAGCACATACCACGTATCAAAGGGGATAGAAGAGAAAGTTCGGAGTGGTTGGCTGGAGTTTTGAATGGAAAGAGACACAGTTGGAAGGAATGGAAAAGTTGGATTCAAGAGGACTTTGACAATCGGATTAAGAACCATGAATGTGACACTAATGACAACAGGAGGCCATGAGCAAAACTTCAGCATGGAAATTAAAACTCATCAGATTTTAGTGTAGAAAAGAGGAGAAAGAATCAGTGGAACTTGGCAATAAGCTCACAGAGCCCAGTTAGTCAAGAATGACTTAGGCTTTGGCTTGGCACCTGTATAGATAAGGATCCTCATCTCATGTTAAATAAATTTCAAACCATCCCAAGGTTCGGTGGGCCCCACACAATCTGGTATCTCTCTCTGCTCCTACCTTGCTCCACCACCTCTTTTCATTGTCTTTATCATCATCACCTTTATCATCCAACGACACTGCCCTTTCCTCCCAGCCCTGGGTTCTTTGCACCTTTGAGTCCCTGTACCAAGACCATCCAATCCAAAGTGACTCCCACCCAACCTCCAAGTCATTACTGTGACAATACGGACACACGGAGCTTACAGTGCCAATGGGAGATTTGCAAACCAAGACGACCAGGGAGCAGCTGGTTAATATGCTTCGGGGAGGCAAGTCTGAGTTGGAAAAGTAGACTTGGGAGCCATCAGTGCAGAGCGGTAAATGAAGTCAGGAGAGTGGCTCACAGAGCTCAGGCGCTGTGATCCGAATACCTCAAGTAGGATGGCGTGCCATACACAGAGGGCAGAGACACAACACGGGCAGAGGGCACTGTCTCGCTGCCCTGCTCAGGAAGGCCTCTTACTTTTGGTGAAAAGGCACAGAACTAAATTATTTTTACAAAGTAACTTAAAAGGGCACCAAACCCATGATTTTGGACACTGGAATCACATAAGGATAAATTAAGTCAGGGGAAAGGAGCTTTAAGCCATTGGCTCAGGCTGCTCTGTTCTCCTGCTGTCATCATGTGCTAGCACCATCCACTCGTTATGCAACACATTCCAACAGGCTTCTGCCTCCATCTCCACCAGGAGCGTCCAACCTGTGGCCCGTGGGCTGGACACGCCTGGCTTGCCTGGGCTGCAATGCGTGAAGAGGAATTGTCTTGGCTGCATAGAAACTGTATTTGCCACTAAGTGCTTGTAAGTTTTCCAGTTGACACCTTGTGTCTCTCTAAGCTCACCTTAGTGTCTCCCGGCTTACTGACGTGTGCCCTCCTGGCGCTCCTTCCTCCCCACTCCTCCCCTGTCTCTGCCTGGCTGGACTCCTCACCTTTTGGGAGTTTTGAAAGCAGGACTAGGTCCTGGTTTCTCTTCTGTTCTCCCATGGATCAGGATACCTTCATTTACTGATGATTCCCATGGTTGTAGCTTTGGACCAAATTTTTCACTGAGTGCCAAACTGACATATAGTGGGGTAATGAGCTTTTCCTGATTACTCAGTACTCCTGTACAAATCCCCAGCCTCCAGAGACACAGAAATGCATATTTTAAAAAGAGACAGAGTTCACTTCACTTCTGCTAGACACATTCTACTCTTCACACACCCTGAGAATTGGATTTGTAGCTATCTGTCTAGTTACTTGCTCTGATTCAAAAGAATAAAACTTCCCTTATCTCCCGAGAGGTCCAAATGGTTATCCCAGGATGAGGTTCTTAGATAAAGTCACAAAAGGTCAGGAAAACTGGAGCGAGCTTCTCCCATGCATTTACAAGTCAAAAGGAAGCAAGTCCAGAGCTTGGAGCTATCCTTAGCTTTGGGGTTTCTTTGGCCTTGGAAATTTAAAAAGTTGGGGTGAGGACCTAGCACCGTTTCCATCTTGTCTCGAGCTAGCAAAATTTTAAAACTCATCTTTAATTAGGGGAGCAGGATGGCTGTCCCTCCAGCATAGAAACCGAAAATCCATGGATCGCCGTCACTTCCTCGTGAATGTAACTTGCTATTTGAACAGAAAGATCCCTGCCCATCTCTAGCTTATGCTTTACACAGCAGCGAGATCTAAAATCGAACCCTGTCAGTCACTTCGAGCTCAGATCTCTTCAGTGACTTCCCACTGCATTTGGAATAAAAGCCCCCCGCCACTTCCTCCTCCCTAACCAGCCCAGAAGGAGCTCCCTCAGCCTCCGGCTTCCTCTCCTGCCTTCATCTTACCTTCTGGGAGACATTTTTTCTTATGCCTTCTTTTTGGACTTGACCAGATACACACTTTCCTTTTCTTTCCTGAAAAAGAAAAGGATAAATAATTTTTCACAGTTGCAGACAGGTCTGCCAAGCTTTTTTGTCACCAGTACTCAGCTTTTACTCTTGGTTTTCAGACCACAGTGGGTAGGAAGTGATCGGTGACCTCAGGTGAGGCTGCTTCGTGGAGTAATAGGGGAGGATTTCTTCTGCCCTCTAAAGAGGCAGGCGCAGAGAGAAGGGGTGTGTGTGTGTGTGTGTGCGAGAGGGAGACAGAGAGACAGAGACACAGACAGAGACAGAGAAGCACGAGGTGTGTAAGGAGAGGGAGAAGGATTGCCCCAGAAAGGAGGGAACAGGAGGCAAGAGGGGCAGATGCAGGTAGGGTTCGTAACACTGCTATCAGGGTATGAGGGGATTATCTTCTGATCCCTTAGTATGAAGCAGGAGCCAAAGTCATCTCCTGTGCAATGAAGAGGAGATTTTAAAAACAGAGTTCAAGATTTGAAAGGCTCATCACAGAGAGTGGAATTGTCACACAGGGTACACCAGGTGCACATGAACTACCTCTACACGTTCCAGAAATCCAGCCTTCGAGCCGCTGAAAAATTCACCTGGCCAGCTCCTCCGAGTCTCACTCTGAAGACACAGTGCACCCTGACCAGTCCACGCGCGGCTGCAGCCTGAGGACACGTTCACGGGGTTGCTCCACACCTCCTCCCCTTGAGTTCTGCGTCTTTTCAGGCTGCTTACCCCAGTCCTTGCTTCCCCGACCCCTGCTAGAACTCCCTCACTGTCAGAGTAGCGTTACAGAACAGACAGGCCTAGATTATGTCTCTTTCTGCAAGCAATTTAGGGAAAAACTCTGCAATAAGACAATCTTAAGGAATCTGGCTAGGGCCCATCCGAGGATCACTGACAGCCCTGTTTCTGCTTCTAGTTGGGCCTTGTCTCAGAAGATCACATGTAATATGCCCAGCAAAGATTTGCCAGGGAAACTAAAAGAGGGGGAGATGTAGCAAAACATGGTCCCCTTGGCCAGTATACTTCAGTTTCTTAGCCGCCCAGGTAATAGTTCCTGTTCCAGTTCCAGCTGCTTCTGTCTCTTAGAAATGGCTGGTCACTGTGATGCATAGCTGGTCACTATGATGCACATGGTATAAACCGATCCCCAATTGACAAGCCATTCTGCTTCTGCACTTCCTGCTTGCTTATCTCCTATAAGCCCTACCAGAGATCAGGGCCTGATATTTTGGAAGTGATCCTGATCAGTACCTGTCAACGTAAAATAAATCTGCTTTCAAATCTTGGGTGTCGTTTTGGTGTGTCTGCTTGCTGTTGCAAGGTTAAGAGGATGGCAAGAAGTCAGACGGAATCCAAGCTGGTAAAGAAGGGTGTGAAGGAAGGCAGAGGAAGGCTTGGAAGAGGAAAAGGCCAGTGGAGTGGTGATTGAAATGAGCTGAGAGACAGCTGCAGAGGGAACAAACCATAAGGAAGAAAATAGAGAGGTACATCTAAAAATGTTTTTTAAGATTAGGCTGAGTAGAGATCAGAAGTTGAATGACAGTTGTAGAAGGAACAATCCTCAAGGATAATTATCAAAAAAAGAATCCTTAAATTAATTACCGGGAAACTGAGCTAGGTTTGAAGGATGGTAAATCCTATGGATTGCCTTTGGGCATGAGAGGCCAAGGATTTCTGGAGGAAAAAGTCACTGGAAATCAGCAGATGAAGAACGTGAGAGGCCAGGGCATTGAATGGGTTGTCTCCTGTCCATACGTACCTGAAGGCATCCAGGATTTTGGCAGGACCCAAGGATAGAGACAAACAACCCCTGAGGCCTGCCAAGGAGTGGTGGGGAAGCCAAATAATGGTAGTGTTGAAGGGAAGGAGTTTTAATTGAATGGTTGGACATCAGAGGAGAGAATGGGGAAGCGAGGGACTGAATGGGGTAGTGGGTAGCAAAGGGCGGATGTCCAACCGCTCCCGCTGCTGGGTGTGAGTGATGGATGGTAGGGAAGTGGGGCTTCTCAAGGAAGCGGCTTTCAGTTAAGGAGGTTGTATAATTAACATTCTGTGAAGTTGTAGATGTCAGAGCCTGATGATTTCAGAACAGGCAATTCTGATGGGAGAAAAAATGCCTTCTTGTTTCTCATCATTTTCAGAAAAGTCTTCAAGGAAGGTGAAATGAATGAGAATTGCAGAAACAAACTGGACTAGGTATCATGAGTACAGTCACATAGTAGGTGCTCATGACAAGATGTGACCAGGAGCCAGGCATGGAGGCATGTGCCTGTAATCCCAGCACTCGGGAGGCTGAGGCAGGAGGATCGTTGCAAGTTCGAAACCAGCCTAGGCTACAAAGTGAGCTCAAAGTCAGCCTGAACTGCATTGGGAAACCCTGTCTCAAAAAAATAAAAAAGACAGAAAAAAAGAAAAAAAGATGTGACCAGAACAACAGAAAGCAGCTCCAAATTCACTTTGTTGACATCTTCAGAGGAAAAGAATCCTTACCTTTCTTTTTTGCAGATGTGCTGGGTGCTTCCTGGGGCTCTTCTGGGTCACTGGATTCAGCAGAAGCATCTTCTAACGCTGATAAAAGAAATATGAGGTGTGATTAAAAACTGTGGTGAATGTTTACATTTATATAATTATTACAGTAAAAGACACGTTACCATGAATCCCTCTCAAAATCCCTCCCCACTTTGAACACACTCATCTCATCATTTTTGCCACTTTCTGAAGCAGTTCTGGAAGTCCTCTTTCGTCAGTGTCTCTATGAGGTGTGATCAAAACTACACTGAATGCTGTTGCCTAGTGCCATTCAACAGAAAGGCAGGCCCCTAAAACATTCTGGTGTGTCCTCACCCACCTTATTCATCAGATCTGGTCCCAGCTGTGGGATTTCTGGTTCTTCCCTAAAGTCAAAGGGACCATGGAAGGTAAACATTTTGAACTGGTTCAGGGTATCAAGGCAGCCAGGACAGCATAACTAAAGACACTCACAAAAGAGGACTTCCAGAACTGCTTCAGAAAGTAGCAAAAGTAATGAGTTAAGCGTGTTCAAAGTGAGAGGGAGGATTTCAAGGAGGATTAAATGCAATATGTCTTTTACTACACTAAAATTTTTAAAATTTCACATTCACCATATTTTTCTATGACACCCGTGTATACTTCATTTCAGAGCTCAGAACAGGCTGAAGATAAAGTCAATGGGAGTGCTAGAGAGGCCAAGGGAGCACGTGGAGCACACCTGAGAATCTGCCACCCTAAGAGTTCTGCCCTGGTTTGGTCGGCTTGCAGTGTTGTTAGCTGTGTGATTATCACTGAAGCACACAGCTGGGGCTCGGTCAGGTCCACTCAGAGAGATTCCTTTACCGGATGGAGGAGAACCAGGGAGGGCAGTGGGAAGTGGTGACACTGAGTTCTGACGGCCACAAGGGAGGTGAAATCTTTGCCACACGAAAAATACATGTTAGTGCTTAGATGTCTGTGTGAACATTTGCCAGCAGCTCTCTCTCTGGCTGTTTCACTTGGAGAAATAGTGAAGGAGGCTGAAGTGTGTAGTTATAGTGACAAGGACTACTGAAAAAAGACAGCAGCCGGCCGGGGCTCGCTAGCACCTGCAAGCAGCAAATACAAAGTTCTGCTAGTTTTGCTGCAATAAGGAGAATGAGAAATCATAACCAGTAAAGGTGCATCTCAGGTGAGGTTGCCACCTTCTCGTTTACACAGTGCTATGAAAGCAGTCCCAACTTCTGGCCTACTTAGGACAGGTATCTGAAGCACATGGTAGGCAGGCATTGAACTTTTGAGGGAATGTGTTACTTTTCACGTAATTTTAATATGTACCCTCAAAAGTCCAGCTGTCAGAGAAGTGACTTCGGTAGGCAGTGACAGGGCAGGGCAGGGCAGGGCAGGAGGAGGACCACCCACATGCCTGAACCCCTGTTTGGACCGCACAGTTCTTGTGTTTGTTGGTTTTGCATTTTGTGGCAGTGGTTTTTAGCATCATCTTATTGAAGTAACTTTACTGGAATGGCGGACCCAAACTGTCCACCAGTCACCCTGTCCCCTGTCCTCTCCCCTTGGGGTTCCCATCACAACCCCTGTGGCAGACAGATATTCTCCCTTTGCAGACACCTTATTGGGAGTCCGAGCATAGCAGGCACCAGGGGCTGCTGACATTCACAAATGGTGGCTCCTCCAGGTGTGCTTGCTCCAGACTTGCCTCCTTGCTCTCTCCTGAGACTCTGCCTCTACTCAGCTTGTGTCTCCTGCCTGCCCAAGCTCCCAAGTGCTGCGTGAGCAACTGGAACTGGGCCAAAGGGAGGTGGAGCGCAGGGAGGAGGGTCCCATCCCAAGAAGATCCAAAAGGCTTTGTCTCTTGGGAGACATGAAAACAAAGCCAAGCTTAAGTCGTCCAAATAAAGGTCACCCAGCACAGAGCTTGCCGGAGCATGGGCTGTCTCTTGAGAGTCTTCTTTATTGGGGCATCGGGTCAACACTGGGACACTGAGCAGAGGAAGAAAAAGACTTGGGGAACAGAAAGTGGAGATGCAAGTGGGGAAGCAGAGGACACTGTATTCCAGCTGGTAAAGATGCTGGACTGCAACGGTGGGCCCAGGGGTGGGTGGAGGAGACTGGGAAAGTGAGAAATTATTTACTCTTAATTACTCTTGTTAACTTAACATAGTGTTTATTTTTCTCTTTTGAGATCTAGAAGATGGAACCTTCCATGGCCGTCAGCTCCCTGATCATGACACCCTTCTTTGGGTGGTGCGTATAGGGGAGTGTGGGAAACACTGTTGAAATCCAGGAGGGCCCCCTTGCTCTCAGTACCAGAGAGCTCAGAACCCACAACGCCATTCTCAGCGATGCCCCATAACATACCCCTGTTATATTTAATGTAATCATACTCCCTTTTAATGACAATTGGAGGAGGACACACGACACAATTTTAGAGGCTAACAGGCCTTCAAATATTTCATATTCTTTTCTAATGGTTTGGATAATATTGCTCTTAGCATCTCACCCATGTAGGGAAGAATAAGGCTGGGAACCAAAGGCCCCATAACCAAGTGTGGTGAGGAGCCGCACAAGGGCTGCCGTGCAGATGCTGTGCCAGTCACTTGTCAGTTCACAGGAGAGCACTGATGGTTGGCTTGTTTTACGTGGTGCACTTGTCAACTGCCCCTTTTGCTTCCTTTCTTTGTCACGCCCAGCTCTTTGCCCGAGGTTCTTACCACAGCCTCTCAGCTGGTAGGGCCGGGCTCCCCCTTCACAACCACCTCGAGTCCCAGTCCACGTTACCTTGCCTAGTGCCAGAGGGAAGGCTGGGCATCTCTTGTGAATCTTCTTCCTTCTTTCTTTTAGATGTTAAGTTGTCACTGGCCACTAATGGAGAAAGAGAAATCATGAGAGGTTACAGGAACTGGGTTTCAGGGAGGACAGTGAATGGTTAACATGTCTACTGCAGGCGGAGCGCTAAGGCCCAAGGACAGAGGGGTGGGATGCTCCAGGAGTGGAAAACAGGTCTGGGCTCTTACAAGTGCTCCAGATCCCTCTCGGAAAGGCCTATGCGTGGGGAGGTGGGCGCATGGAAGGGGCCAGGTTGGTGATGTAGGACCCCGGGGTTCTAGGCACCTCTTGCTGGGGATACATGGATGTTGGACGGGCTCTGCTTCTCACCTGGAGTACTTCCTTCTCCAAGGATGAGTCCAAGAAGTGCCACAGCCGGGGCAGAAGGGCTGGGTGGTTTGTCCAAGCCCTCACTGGTTTGCTGCAAGGATGCTCTGGCCTCACTGACCGTGGGCGCACAGGACAGATGTCTTGCTGGAGGTGGCTGGGGCGGGAGCAGCTGCAGCAGGGTCTGGAGAGAGCTCCCTTCTTCTGGGTCAGCAGGAAATTTCAGTGGGATTGCCGCGGTTCTGCTCCTCTCTCCATAGGAGGTGCCGACTGGGGTGTGAAGGAGCACACGTCAGTACCTTGCAGACCCTGAACAAGCTGGGGGTTTCTTAACATGGACCTTCCAACCACGCTGGGGACGTAGAGTTACTCATTGTCCCCACAGGGCCCCTTCATCATCATCAGTGTCCGTTTGTGGCTCCTTTCTATTTTACTGAATGTGATTTGAGCATTCGGCGGTACACTGACTGCATCTAACCCCAGTCTGTTACCCGAGGGGTTTCACACATAAAGTCCAGTTTGACTTTGTACCCAGGGACTTAATTCTCTTGTTTGGGCTTCATAAAATTTAGTCATGTTATGTACATGCTGTAACTTTAATACGGGTCTTTGTTTTAATAATTAAATATATCACACATCCCTGGAAGAAATAAAACAAAAATTCCTTAGCAGGGTGGATTAGGACAGTTGTATTCTGGTTTCTGCTTCATTCTGCAGATTCAGCTTCTGTGCCTTTTTGGTTTTTTGTTTGTTTGTTTGGGTTTTTTTTTTGTTGTTGTTTGTTTTTTTCTGGTACCGGGAATCGAACTCACAACCTTGCGCTTGCCAGGCAGTCACTGTGCCACTGAGCTAAATCCCCAGCCCCTCTGTGCCTTTTTTGGAACCTGATGATCCAGCCATGCTCAGCCTTCTCTCTCATTCTAATACCCTAGGCCCTCGGTTTCCCACATGCTGTTCCCCTGCATTGGTTTATGCCAGGTTTTTGTTATGATTCTTCTCCATCATTTATTTCACAAGCAAAGTTATCTCAACCAGTGAATGGAAAAAGAAGTGGGTTTTGAAAAGGGATCCAGAAACAAATCTCAGTGTTGCACATCCAGGAGATGCCTGACCCCAGCCAGGCCAGGGGCACATGGGCCCCTGAGATTCAGATAAATGTAGCACACCCTTGGAGTCCGTGCTTCTCCTGGAACCAGCCTGATGCTGTCAGGAGAATAGGCCCTCAGGCAGCTGCTCCTGTCTGGAGGTAAACTTTCCCTTTGTTGCCCCCTTAGCTCAAGGAGCCATTTCATCCTTTAGGGAGAAGCCACATGATAGAGAAGTGTCAGGGGGCAGATGTGGCACCATCAATAGTGGGGACTCCACCAGTGACAGTGTCGGTCCAGCCAGATCTGGTGGTCCTCCCTTTGCCATTCTCTGACGGCTGAGCCCTATACTTTGGCCAAAGAGCTCTGTCCTCAACCCGAAATGACTTGACTGCGTGACACTTACTCTGGCCTCTGTCTTCTCATCTCTGTCACTGCTTCTTTTTCTACACCTTTATGTATCCAGCTGCTATAGTTTGACTATTGAGTGTCCCCTCAAAGCCCATGGTCCCAGGGTGGTGATACAGGAAGAGAGTGAAAACTTTAAGATGTGGGACCAAATGGGAGGTCTTTAGGTCATTGGGAGGGGTTGCCCGTGAAGGGGGTTGTGCAGCTCTGGTCTCTCCTCCTTTCTTCGCTCTGGTCATGAGGGGAGCAGCTTTGCTCACACACCTCTGCTGTGAAGTGCTGCCTCCCCAGATGCCCAATACATCAGGGCCAACCAGTTGTGGACTGGAACCTACAAAACCGTGGCCCCAAGCAACCCTTTGCTCTTTATAAGATACTAGCCCATGTATTTTGTTACAGTGACAGAAAGCTGGCATACCAGCCCTTCTTTCCTGGTGGACTTCTTACTCCATTTTTCTCTCCTGTCCTCTCTTTCTGTATCTATGTCCAGCATTTCTTTTCGTCCTCTTTACTACCTTTCTTTCCTCCTCTAGCCTTACAATCTGCCTTCCTGCTGGCTTTGTTTACAAGAGTAGTTACAACCCCGGGCCCAAGTAATGGCAGAACCAAACAGGATTCCAAGTTCTGCCGCTAAATAGACAACTTGGGGAAAGTCACCTCCGTGGTTTAATTTCCTTGTCTGCCAAATACAACTAATCATGACTTCACAGTGTTATTTTAAAGCTCACACAAGATAATCACATGGAGTGGTGGGATAATGCATTAACAACAACAAACAAAAAGGTATTTACTATTTTCCATTCTGTCTCTTTCTCTTCCACTCTCACTCTCCTTGTCTTTCTGCCAGACCTGGTCTTTGTAACTTTGCATTTCTGTCATTGTACACATCCCCTAGTTTGTCCGGTAGGTTAGATGTTACTTGCCTTCAAATTCATAGAACAGGTAAAAACAAAAATGTCTGTGTCTTCTAGAAATTCATCTCAGAGCGTGGGGTCAGAGTTAGCAAGGGCTGCCCTCCAGCCCCACTGATGAGTGAGTATATTCTGTACCTTCTCAAAGGAAAAGCGGGATTGAAGTGATAATCCATGCTGGAAATAAACCCAGATGTTTAGCGTAGCAACTTATTATATGCAAAAGGTGTTTCAGCAACTGTATTACCATTTATGAAGCTTCTGAGAATCTTCTTCAGACTAGGGTATTCATACAGGTTAATCTGGCCGAACAGCGTCACCAGAAGCGACAGGTTAAAAGTCTTCTCCAGTTTGGTGAGAATGTTGTACACCACTCTGCACACAGGAACCAAATTTCTACAGGCTTCCAGAGACTCCTTTTTTTTAAAAAAGAAGCAGAGGATTAGTATGAATGATTATAGAACTGGTGGAGAGTTATGATACACTTGTGTTTCCTAAGTCCTAAGAAAGCTAGTTAACTCTTTTCAAGGAGAAATTTACTGTAAAACATAGAGTCAAGTCCTCTCTGCCTAGTCACAGGAATAAATTGCTTAGGCTTCTTGAAAATAAGTCAGTTTTGTGAATCTTACTGTTTGGTACACTTGAGGAAAGAGAGAGATTTTAAGGAATGAAAGTAGAATCAAAGGATGCCACTGTGTCCTTCTTCATGGCTCAGGGCAGGATGCTTGAGCAGGGGACCTAACAGGTCGTCACAAGTGGCAATTCTGTGGACTTGTGAGCATCTGTGTGCGCGCTCCCCGCCCTACCGGAATGGGTTCCAACCAAAGGCGGAACACTGGGCGAGCGGCAGGGCCCGTGGTCCGTGTGGGGCTGCCTGTATGGGCGGGGGCATTTTCAGGCAGAAACGATGGACACTGAATAATAAACATAAGTGAAATAAATACTCAGTTACAACTGAGGGTAGTATCATGAAAGGAAAGCACAGACTGCAATGAAAGGGAGTAAAAGGCGGTCTTACTGCATAGAGTGGGTCAAGGAGACCCCTCTGAGGAGAACCATCCAGACGATAGTCTGAAAGAGGAGTTGGAGCTCATCAGGGGAAGAAGAATGTTCTACCACTCTTGCCACTTTCCTGACCTTGGAGCTCAAAAATACTTTAAAATAAAAAAGTACGATACAAAAAATCCTCTCAGAATTATACGAGAAGAGCACCGTTTCTGTCCAAACCGCTGCACTGTGTCTCCCAGGACCTGCCTGCCTCACAGCAGAAGGAACGGTGAGCAACAAGCTCTCGGAAACAGGGAAGATGCCTGCAGGGGCTGAGGGGCACCTCCTCCTCGCAAGAGGAGCTACATCCACGTATCCGTCCAGAACCGAGACTGGGAGTTATGTGGGGAAACAGTCTTTGCAGATGTAATTGGGTTAATGACCTTGGGATGAGATCATCCTGGGTTAGGGCGGGGCCTCCTCGCAGGTGTCCTTGTAAGAGAATAAAAAGGGAAAAGACGTAAAAGACAGAAAGAGAAGTGAGATGGAAACAGACACTGGACTGATGTGTTTCAAGTCAAGGACCACTGAGCACAGTTAGCCGCCGGCAGAAGGCAGATGCTTCTCCTCCAAGCCTCTGCAAGGGCCCAACACTCTGTTTGCGTCCTCTGACCTCTAGAACTGTGAGACAATACACTGCTGTTGTTTTAAGCCACCTGCTTTGTGTTCCTTTGCCACGGTCACCCCCGTGACACCCCAAAACTAATATGGTGCCTAGGATGCCCTCTGTCCCAGCCACCTCCTGTCCTGTGACAATGAACATACCTAAGCGAGCCCTGGCACCCTCCAAAAGCTCTGTGGGTGATGGTTTGAGATCTCAATAATCCGGCCCACTTGGGGCTGGGCTGCAGGGCGGGGCTGACCTGACTCACCGTGTACGTACTCTCACTGATGAAGGACTTGTCTCGGAGCAATTCAAAGAAGGGAAATGGCTTGTTTATGGCATAGGCGATCTCCAGCTTCTGCTGCATGAAGTGCTGAAGAAGAGCCTTTTCCAAGGCCCTGCTCACAGCGAACATCCTATGGAAAGAGGCAGGCTGAGAAAAACAGGCAAAGACTGTGAGGGACCCGGGGAGCTGCTCTCGGCACCAACGGACACCTGCAGACTGGCATTCTGGTCCCCCTAGCAGCCTGCAAAGCAGCATTGGCCAACAAGGCTCATGGGTGTAAGAAACAAAGTCAATGCCCAGCAACTGTGGAGGCCAGTGGTGTCCTGAAGGGGCTGCGGGTAAACACGAGGTGGATATTAAAAATAGCTGCTATTTATTGAGTGCTTTCTGTGTACCAGAGTTACTCTAAGGGTTTCACAGGCAGGAGCTTATGTGATCTTCACAAAGCCTTGCAAAATGGTTATTACGGTTGCACCCATTTAATTGTTGGGGACTGTGGCACACAGAGGGGCTTCATAACTCTCACCCTCAGCTGTGCAGCCTGGAAGTGGGAGAGGTGGAAACAAATCCCGGCCTTTGGGTTACAAGCTGACAGTTGTAAGTACGTGCTTTGTGGCTGCCTGGAGCTGGGGTAAACCAGATGACGGAGCTGCAGTTCAAACCATCCATTAGCAAGGTCCATAGAAAAGGGACCCCTTTCTCACTGTGCCAGGGCTCGCTTAGGTATGTTCATTGTCACAGGACAGGAGGTGGCTGGGACAGAGGGCATCCTAGGCACCATATTAGTTTTGGGTCAGTGGAAACCTGATAATGTCTAGAAACTTTGGTGAAACATTCACAACACTTCAACACAAGCAAGCAAAAAGTAAACAAAATCACAAAAGATGTGATTAGTGAAGGTGGCATCACTGATTCATTTCACGTATTCATTTCCTATCTCAGAACAGGCCGGGCCTTTTTTCACCCTCTGCAACATTTATAAAAATTGACCATTTATGGCTCACGAGAAAAGACCAATAAGTTATAGTGGGTAGAAAATGTACACATGGCATTCTTGACACATTGTTACACAAAAGGGCAGTATTAAGGAAAAGTTCAATCACCTAGAGACTTTTAAAACACAAAGTAGACACGGGTTTACTTTTTCTAACTTCACTTTGAGCTGAACAGAGTATTAACCTGTAACTAACACCTATTGCCAGGGACCTAATCCCATTGGCAGATTGAACACCTCTGCCTCTCCCTCCTCATTGTCAAATCCTTTACATTTGGTGGAAAAAATATTGTAAAAACAATTATACACCGCAGAACTATGAAATAAGCCATTAGCAGCCTCTGATCATGAAGAAACTCTAGAGGCTAGAGAATATATAGAGCAGTCTGCTATCCACACAACGCGCAGGGGAAGGATGTGCTCCAAAGATTGACGTCAGGGAAAGCCAGGGTGAATTCCCACCCTGGCTAAGCCGAAAGGGGCTCTGGGCTCCTAAGGACATTCACATGTAACAACGCTGAGAACAGGACTGTGCCAGGCCCCTCACTCTTTGTCTGTGAGGGTTTCAAAAGACGGTAGCAGGGCACAGAGCCGTTAAGAAAGCAAGCAGTCCAAGGTACCCAGCAGCAAAGCAGACTTCGTCCGACTCTGACATCCTATTTCTCACTGTGCAAGGTACTGCGTCTCACTGACAACACCATTCAGATCTTACTATGTGAAGGGTCCTACAAATAAGCAAAAGGTGAACATCTAAGCAACAATGAAAGCTAAAGATCTACACAGGCAATCAATAAGAGTCAGCCACATGAGCGCTGAACATATGCAAACCGCACACACTCACTAGATGGGAGGAATGTGCAAAGAGAACTTGAAAACACTTGCCTATGCAAGTGGCCATGACAGAAAATAATAATAAGCCTGGACATCACCATGGGAGGAAATGCACATCACTGACTGTGGAGATGCACAGAGGTTCAAGTGTTCTCGAGACTAATTTAGTAATTGCTGTCAAATGCTCTAAAATGGGCATTTCTCTCATTTTCACTTCTGGGAATTCAATGCAAGGAAATAATCATGAACGCGCTTGACGAAAAGCTATGAAAAGTTCATGGCACACTAGGGAGGAGATCATAGGGCTCTCCTTGTTTTTCTTGCCCACCAGCTGCCCAAGTGGTGCCCTGAACAGTGGGCAAGGAACGAGCCACAGGCTGTGGGCAGGGCGCAGGGCTTGAGCTTAGAGAGGGCAGAGAGCAAAGCTCGGTGCCCTCATGAGGAGACGCAAGAGGGTACAGGTGGCACACACCTGAGGTGTGTGTCCGCTTCTACTGCACGTCCCGCTAAGTCCCACCATCCTCTCAGCCTCTCTGGAAAACATTACCTTGCAAAGATCCAGCCTCAGAGGGTTTTTTGTTGTTTTTGTTTGTTTGTTTGTTGTCTTTTTGAGATAGGGTATCGCTGTGCAGTTCAGGTTGACCTTGAGCTCACTTTGTAGCCCAGGCTCGTGTCGAACTCACAGTGATCCTCTTGCTTCAGCCTCCCAAGGGCTGGGCTTACACAGCCTCAGAGTTTGAATAGCTTGTTCCACTCTGCGGCGACTGCCGGGAAGGAAAGGATGACAGCCTTCGCCGCCCCGACTGCAGATACCCCGGCCGGATAGAGGCAGGGGCAGCTCACCTGGGCTCTGGATTTGGCCTGGGCTTCCGTCCTTTCCAGGTTCCTGGGCTTGGACAGAAACGCCACAGATGAAACAAAATCCGCTTGCGCCTTTTGGGGCGGGCTGCAGGGGAAAGAAAAACGAAAGTGTTAGGGCCGGAGAAGCAGGAAGCTGGGGCGGGAGCTGCCCTCCGCGCCTCCTGACGCGGTCGTAAGGGCCGGGCTCCGCAGAGGGGCGCTGAGGGGCGGGTAGCAGCGTGCTGCCCCTGCGAGCAACCGGGGGGCGGGGTGCAAGGAGGAGGTATGGGGACCAGCTTGGTGGCTCTGGAGACTACGAATCCACCGCTCGTCCCCTCCCATCCAGGCAGTAGGTGGCCAGCCAAGAGTGTGCAGAAGCCGGATGAGGCGAGGTCCAGCCGAGGAGGACCCTAGGACACGGGTCGAGGGGAGGAGGCGGCTACCCCTTCTGTGAGCCCCTTTAAAGGCTCCTGGTGCGCGTGCCTTGCGGTGCCTCTGAGAAATCCTACGTTTAGAAATCCATCTAACTCTGTTTAAGCTATTCATTCTAAACGTACTCAACCTAGGACTTCCCTGACGGGACACACACAAAGCCCTCAGTGAAAAAGGAGAAAGGTGATTTTAGAGTATGAAAGTCTTGAAGCCAAGGCTAAAGAGAAAGGAGAGCAGGAGCAACATCGCCCACGCAGCGACCGACAGGCCCAGCGGGCCACAGCCGCGGGGAAGGACAGGCCCGCGGGAGCACAGGGAGGGAGTCGGGGACTAGGCGCTGTGACGGTCGCGCCGGGCTGGAAGATGCGGGGGCGCCGGTGGGAAGAGGGACGGAGACGATTTTATGCTAAGGTCGCACTGCAGTTCCCAAAGTCCCTCCACTTGCCCTGGAAAACCTTTCCTGAGCGCCAGGATTGAACTTCAGACCCATTCACAGACACACCGGGTAAATGGTGGGGGGCGGGGGGGGGGAGAGCAGGAGGAGTGCGAAAATAATGCCAGATCTGGCAAAATTATTTTGTGAGAAAAATACTGGTGGGTATGTAAGGATATCTATTCTGAGCTACCCATGCCTAAGAATGCAGTAACAACAGCAAAACTTCCCCTGCTAATTTGCATGCAAATGATCCATGTCGTGAACGCTTATTAAAATTATGTGTAATTCTTTTTAGCTCAACTTTATTTATGCATAAAAGGCATTAATTGTAAGTGAACATTTTGATGACTTTGGCCAAATGTAATCACTGCCACAATAAAGATATAGACTATTTCCAATGCCTCAGAAAACTCCCTTGTGCCCTGGCAACCTTGGATCTGCTTTCTATTACTATAGATTGGTTTCAGCTGTATTAAAATGCTATGTAGATGGAAACATGGTACGCACTTTTTGGTGTATGGCTTTTTTTCCTCATCATAATTCTTCTGAGATTCATTCCTGTTGTTGCAGGTCAGAAATTCATACCTCTTTAGCGAGTATTCTGGCCCCACTAGCTTATCCTGTCTGATCAGTCTGATGTCACCAACGTAAACTTCAGTGTGATGTTCTATGGGATGCCAGGTGATCCAGGTCTCGTACTGTTTTGGTTTGTGTCCAGATGTCCCCTCAAAACCTCATGGGGCCATAGGGCTTTTTCAGAAGTGGCTGAACCTAGAGTGTGATGCTGGGATTAAAGGTATGTGATTAGTAAATCAGTCCCCTGATTGGTTTGGCATAGCTCTGGTTAGGATTAAGGGTATGAGTGCTACACCAGCCCTAGGGCAGGTAGCCTACACACAATATCAGGGATAGAAAGACTCTTCTGTCCCTCTCTTCGCTTGGTTGCTTTTGCTGTCTTCCACTGCCATGAACTGTTGCCCTCTTCCATGTGCCAGCCTGCCTTGGAGACAGCTGATTACGGACTAAAACCACTACACACCAGGAGACAAACCTTTCCTCCTTTAACTTTGGGTGTCAGGTATTTTGTCTCAGCAATGAGAGAAAAGTAACTAAGACACATTATGATAAAGAGCAGGTAAACCTATATAACTATTATTTTTACATGTGAAAGGAAGATGTTTCTGATCTTCACTTCTAATCAGAAAGGAAGAACATTCACCAAAGCAGTGGCCTCACACCATGTACTTAGAATGAGCGAGGCTGGGGATTCAACTGCCTGGACTGTCCATTTTCTTAGCTTGCTCCTCCAGCCTGTCATAAATTCTGTGAGCTACCCAATATACCTTTCAGATATTGATTTTCTCCATGAGTTAGCCAGAGCTGGTTTCAGCTACTTGTACTTCCAAATCCTGGCTGATTAAAAGATTGGGTACCAAGGAATGGATTATTTTAATTAATTAATTAATTAAATTTTTGGAGATACTGTCTTGCTATGTAGTTCAGGCTGGCCTTGAAATTGCAGCCATCTTCCTGCCTCAGCCTTCCAAGTGTTAGGATTAAGGGCATGTACCATCATGCCCAGTTCCAGAGAAGGAATTATAAGCAACATACCTTCAAGGATATATGATCTAGTTGAGTCTGGTTATCTGACATAGTTAGACATAAAGCTGGTGAACATTTCATTAGCTTTCAGGGGTAGACTTTGGTAGACTTTGCCAAACAGGGGTAAATTGATAAACCTTGTGGTGAAGCTGGAACACATCTCTCCCTGATCCCAAGTGTCAGAACCTAGCACACTTAGCAAAACAGGGAGGTTTTTGGGTCAGATGCAAGCATGGACTGCTTTTATAGAGAATCACCTATTTAACCTATGTCTAGGTGGAGCACAGGTCAGGGAAGCAGCTGGTCTCCTTGCCCCACTGGGGAAGACAACACCGCCCAGGCATTAGAACCAGGCAGAGGTGGGCTCGTGGTCTCAGCCTCGGCCTCCCTTGGGCAGGAGAGGTTCTGTCATGAACACAGGCAAAAACAGGACTGTGGGACCTAAGAGCTGAGATTCCAGGCAAATGCACAGTGTTGCAGAGTAGAGCTCACTGATAAACTTGCCACCCCTGAAGTCCCATTGTCCCTACAGTCAGCTGAGGAGCACCAAAGACCTGGTGCTTATCAGCAAGAGAAAGGGGCACAGTAACAGAACTGCCCAGCCCAGCGGTGACCTAGGCCTGCCTGCTGCCCAGGGCAGAGAGAGCAGGCAGAGGGGACACCAGAGCGGGTCTTGTCTGCTTCACTGTGGCCCATGAAAGGCAGGAACAGAAGACAGCTCTGCCCAACAGAGGCACCACCCCTTATCAAAGCCAGAGAGAGCAAAAGAGTGTACAAGAGAGAGCCAGTGTGGGGGGGATTTCCTGCAGAGACGCACCCTTGGTAGACAGGGTGACATCGCCCATAGGAAAAGATTCCATGTCAATGTCCTGGAACTTGTCCTAATCAGACTGGGGTTTGCTTCTTAGAGAAAGAAGTCAGAAAGGGGCAAATGGGTAGAAATCAGTTGCCCTCTCTTTTCCAAACCTGTGTGTCTAGGTTTCCCAGGACGTCCGTGAAGACCCAGGAGAAGTGGGGCTCAGGGGTGTCTATGTCTGAGAAGCTTTGCTTTGCTCTTGCCTTGCAGTTCTCACCGACATTAGTCCCTGCTCTGTCAGACGCCATCCACAGGCGCCCCTGTTCCTGTTGCTCCTTTATCCTTCACCCATTCTGCCTGAATTTAGGCTTCTGGGTTCATTTATTGATTTTTACGTTCCCTTTGCTATTTCCTTGTCTTTCAACTTGATACTGGTGTAGCTTTTTTTTGTAAATTGTTCCAAATCCTTTACAGTATGAAGGTCACGTGTAAGTGAAAGAAAAATAGAGAAAAGAACAGCAACTGTGTACAAACAAACGCACCACGCTCGTCCTCCTAGCTCACACTGGCCTAGAAGTTGTAGGTAATCTCAGTTCCAAACCTGCCCCCATCGCTGGAGCAGCCCGCCCTCACCAGTGACACAGAGGAAGCCTGGTTTTCCTCCGTCGCACTGGCTGCAGTTGTAAAAGGCCCCATGTTCAAATGCTTGGCTTGCGTCCACAAATCCGGCCTCACTAAGACACTCAGCCAGCCACGGCCAGAGAGAAGCCTGAAAATGCCAGGGGAAGGGGCGAATGTAGACTTCACTTCCTCCCCATGTGCACCACGCAGGCAACCTCGATCCATTTTAGTCAAAGGGGCTTTCCCACCCTATTTCTGTGATTTGAGCAAGTGGGCACTCGATCGTTCTGGAACGCTTGGGGCTGGCCTTGGGCTCCTCTCTGGCTGGAGAGACTGGGAAGGGCTGGGCCAGCGTGTGACTGCAGTCATGTCACACAGTTAGGCAGTTTCACTTTCTTTTCCCCCTTTTGATGCAAACCATGAAGGGTGGTGGTGTGGGCCAGTTGGTAGTTTCCCCCAGAGCTCTGGCAGGCACAGAGACTGTGAAGTTCTGACCCGGTGTGATCCTAAGCTGAGTTCAAGGCCCAGCAGGGTCCGTGGAAGAGGATGACAAGTGGAGGCAGGGATCTCAGCTTCAGGTAAGTCACCATGTCCTCTGCTTGTCTTTCATCTTTGGTAGGGTCAGTGTTCACACTTGTTACATGTCTACCCGGGCTCACACCATGGGTATCCAACAGGACGAAATAGCAAATAAATCAAAAATGTGGAAAGCTGATTTTTATTGCAGTTGGTTAGTTTCGGGGAAACAAGGCCAGCCTGACTCACACTGTCTTTGCCTCTCCTTGTAATGGCGAGGCCAGGCTGTTGTTGCTTTCTCCCTTCTGAGGTGCCCCTGCAGGACGTGACCTCTGACTCCCCACGTGTCCCTTGTCCCTGCTCTGAAAAACAGCTCTGTCCCAAAAAAGCTCTTTTTAGAAAAATTACAGTACAAATCAAACAACTGTCTGTTAGCAAGATTTTCCTGTCTGTGTAGTTGGGGGCCAGTTCTGTTCTGAGCTATGTGTGTGACCCTGGGCCCCACCATCAACTCAGTATCTTCCAACACAGTCGGAGGAAGTGAAAGTAGTACCCAAAATGAACGCAAGCAGGTGGAAAGTGAGTGTTGCTTGCTCTTTTGTTCTTTCTTTCTTTTTTTTTTTTTAAATTCTGGGATGTGTTACACATTTAGTTGGAGAGGGACAGAAATTATCTTTTAAACATGCAAGACAAACAGCAATGCATATAAATTAAAACAGTGTAGAAATATATGGAAACTCCTGTAAGTAGGAGCCATGGCAACCTCTGGTGCTGGTGCAGCGCCAAGAAAGCATCATTTCTTCTTTAAACATTTGGTTGAATACACTAGTGATACCATCAGGGCCCGATTCCTTCTCCTTTAGAGGCCTGTTAATTACTGATTCTGTTTCTTTAATGGATGGTCTGTCTCTCCTTGTGTGAGTTTTGGTAATTTGTGTCTTTTAAGAAAACTGTCTGTTTCTTCTGTTACCAAACCCGTAGCCACAGGGCTGTCGGGAGAATTTCTTTGTTGTCCTTTCAGTGTCTGTGGAATTCATAGTGATGACCCTGCTTTCATTCTCTATTAGTAAACTGGGTGTTCTCCTTTTGTGTTTCTTTATTAACGTGGTGAGATAGAGGCTAGGATTTTTTTTTTATTTTAGAGAAGAAGAAGAAAAATAGAAATAAAGTAAAATAGAGTTTCAAATCAGGCTAATAGGAGAGTAACAATAATTAATACATTACATATTGCTATCTTCACAGTAGTTATTCAGAGGAAAATATATAGGCATGAAATATTATCCAGACAATATTAGCATAAATCTTTCTTTTCAGTGAACAAGAGAAACTAGCTGTGTAACTATCTTAACTATCTTGAGTATATATATATATATATATATTTTTTTTTTTTTCCCTTTTCTCTTCCTTCCTTTCCCCTTCCCCTCATCAGTTTCTTTTCTTTTGAACATTTTCTTCCAATTCACAATATCTGTTGTGCATTATGGACCTTATTCACTCATTCAGCTTCTCACACTAGTAAGATAATATGATATTTACACATATGGGTCTGATTTATTTCATTTATGAGTATGGTCTCAAGTTGCATTCATTAACCTATAAAAGTCTTGAGTTTATCCTTCTTTATGGCTGAATAGTACTCTATTTTTTTTTTTGGTTTTTCTCCGGTACCGGGAACCGAACTCACGACCTTGCGCTTGCCAGGCAGGCGCTTTGCCGCTGAGCTAAATCCCCAGCCCCGAATAGTACTCTATTATATAGGAAAATGAGATTTTTTTAATCCATTGCTTGATTGATGGACATTTGGGTTGTTTTTCATATTTAGCTATTATAAGTTGTGCTGCTATAAACATATGTGCGCATATATCACTGTGGTATGATGTTTTTAATTCTTCTGGCAAAATGCCCAGAAGAAGAATTGCTGGGTTGAATAGGACCTTTAATCCTAGTTTTTAAAGGAATCTCCACACTGATTTCCATGGTTTTTGCACCAATCTGCACTCCCTCCAACAGTGGAGAAGTGTTCTTTCTTCCCCACAGCCCCATCAGCACTTGTTATTGGTTGATTTCTTGATGATAGCCATTCTTTCTGGAGTGAGATGGAATCTCAATGTTGTTTTATTTTGTGTCTTTCAAATGACCAGTGATGTTGAACATTTTTTTATATATTTATTTGCCATTTGTAATTCTTCATCTGAGAAGTGTGTGTTCATGTCAGATGCCCATTTTTGGACTGGGTCTTTGAATTTGGAGGAGGAGTGGAAATTTTATTGATCTTTTCTGGAAACGAACTTTTGGTTTCATTGAATTTCCTAATGTTTTATTTCAATTTTATTAATTTCTATTTTCATTTTTATTATTTTCTTCTACTGGTATTAGACTTAAATTGCCCCCTTTTTCTCTAATTTCTTCAGATGGAAATGTACATTGATTACATCCTTTTCCTCCTCCTTTTGTTCATCTTCTCCCACCTCTTCCTCCTCTCTCTCTCCTTCTTCTGTTCCTCCTCCTTCTCCTCCTCTCCTCCCCTTCCCCTTCTACTCCCTCTCCACCTCCCTTTCTCCTCCTTCACCTTGTAGTACTGAGGCTTGAACCCAAGGACTTCATACCTGCCTCCATCCCCAGCCCTCACCCACCTTTTAAATAAAAATTTGAGACAGGGTCTTACCAAGTCTCTGTGACTGGGCTTGAATTCGATCCTCTTGCTTCAGCCTCCCAGAGTGCTGGGATTATAGTTGTGTGTCACCACACCCAGCCATCTTCTTTCATAATATATACACTTAAGGCTACATATTTCCCGCTAAGCACTGCCATTGCTACATTCCATACATTTTGATAAGCTGAGTTTTCATTTTACTCAGTTCAAAATATTTTGAAATTTCTCTTGAGACTTCTTCTTTGACTTTGGAACTGCTAATCCAAATGACACATTTTTTATAAAAATAGCAGTATTTTCCAAAATAAAAAGAAGCAAGATTTAGCATTGCTTTACCTTTTTGTAAATCTCTTACCATCTGGCTTAATGGAAGCTGCTGAACTCTCCTTTCTTATTTCTGCTTCTGCCTTTGATCTGTGCTGATAATGACATAGGGCACATAACCTCTGGAAAATTCTACTGTACATTTGAGAGAGAACAGAGAGATAAATAGCAAATAGCATCTTAACATTATTGTGAAAGTAGTTTTGACTTTGTTGACACTTACAAAGGTCTTGTACAGTCCCAGAATTCCCCTAGACCACTCTTAGAACATCACTCCTCTAAAATAATTGAGAACTTTTAGACATTACATTTTAACTGGCTGTCACAACCACTGCAATTCTTTTACAACGAACATGCAAGATTGATTTCTTGACTCTGTAATTGTAGTACCTCACTAAGTTGTCCTGGCTCATCAGTAAGAATGGATAAGTCTCAGCTCCAGAGGAGCCACCTGAACTCCCCGAGCAATGAGCAGAGAGAGGTTCACAGCATGGTGGCAGAGGACAGACATGATACCTAACCGAGCTGGCCCTGAACTTGCCTGTCAGAGAGACTCCTTCACTGCCAGGAGGCCAGGAGCTGCGGGGTCACCTTTGTCTTCTCAGTCATGACACAAGTTTTATCTTTGTGCATGGATAGCTGAACAGGGTGTGCACTTGTGCCACTTCTCTTTACCTCTAGATCTATAGACCTGCATAACTATTTTAGACTTTTAACATTTCAATACCTTTCATTTTTGTTCCCCTTTATGGGTTTTCCTCCACCTTGTTCTGTGAAACGATCTCCTCATTTTATAACTATTCCAGTAAACTTTAAAAAGAACTTTTCAGCAATCATTTTAAATTTTTAATAATCTCCAAGTCCTTTTTGTTGTTTTCTGGTTGTTTCTTTTCTGCACGGCATCTTGGCCACAATATACTCTCATACCTGTATGGAAATGTTTGCTTTGTTAGAAATTCTCTGCTGTTTCCTGCAACATTTCTATTTCTGCTGGGGCTGGTTTTTGCTCATCTAGTGTTTAGTCCATAAATGGCATGGATGAGGGTTCCACAAACACTGTTGTTCATTCTTACTCAGTGTGAGATGAAAAGTTAACTTAAAATGCCCTGTAATGGCATTGTGAGCTTGTGGGTTTCTCTGGGGAAGCCCTGCATGCCTGAGCATGACAGCCTTTCTTTCCTCTGAGTTTATTGTTTTTCTTAAGAAGAAACCCTCATTTCCTGCCCAGACATAAGTGTGCTATGCCGAAGAACTGATTGTTTTGTATTTTTTCCTTTCAAAGAGTGCCCGGGTTTTCATCCCATATCTCCTTCCAAAGCCTTATGCTTCCCTGGCAGGGGGGATGCCATGATCGTAAAGTACTACCGCCTCTCCGCTAGTCTGCAGGACCCACTGGATACTTTCCTCACCAAAGGAGAGAATCCTTCACTCATAGCAATTAATGTTCCTCTGACCACTTATTCTCTTCAAACGCTGGTTTAATTTCTCATCTAATTTCCTCTCTCTCATTATGACTTAAATTCTTTTACTATCATTCTAGGGGACACTCTAGAGAAAGAAAAGAAAAGCACTTCAATCAAGCATCTTTAACCAGAAGTCTTTTTCTTTTTTAAGGAAGTCAGTGAAGAAATGAGATTTAATTCTATCCAAATGAATGTGTCAGGAGTAGGAAGTTTCAATGATCCTCTTATAATGGGATTAAAAACAAATCCTATAAACCTTGACACCAGGTAGAAACACAGAGAAGTTTTTAAAGGTGTTATCAACAAGAGGAAAATTTCATAAATAAGAATCAGAGTTACAAGCCTTTTTTAGTTGAGGATTTACTTTCTCGAGTATGGTCTAAATGTCTAAAACCCAAGAATCTTAAAGGTCTCCATACATAACCTCCACAGGTAGGTTATATACAGAAAATCAGGGTCTCATTTTAAATATTCACATGAATTTCCATGTTGGACCAGAAACAAATACTCATATCCTTGTGACTATTCTAATTCAAACATTACCAGATGAGAGTGTTTGAACAAATTTTGTGATGCCAAATGCCATTTTCCCCCAGTGGTAATAGATGAGAGAGGGATATCTTTAGATCTTTCTAAGGTTTCTTTCTTTGTTGTTAACTAAGAAGACTTGCCTTTTAGTGTTCGTTCGGCAAAAATCTCCTTTTTAAAACTACTCTTTTATCTGTAACTTTTTGTTATAGCCTGTATCAGTCTGAGTTCTGTATAGAAACAGAACCAACTACATATATTAAGAGATTTATTATAAGGAACTAGGCTCACAAATTAGAAAGGCTGGCGAATCCAAAATCTGCAGTGTGAAACCCAGAGAGCCTGTGTTACAGTTCCAGTCAGCAGTAAGTCTGCTAGAGAATCTCCTACTTAGAGTGGCTGATCTTTTTTGTTCCACTTAGGTTTTGACCGATTGAATGAGCCCACCTACGTCACGGAAGGCAATCTGTCTTATAGCAATCACCTACGTAAATGTTAATGTTATCCAAAAACTTTGCCCAAGTTGACAAATAAAATTAATCATAACAATACCTGTAAAGATTTAGCATTTTTTAATTCAGCATTTTCCTAGAGATTCAGGTTAGTGTTGATGAGAACAGGATGAATCCTTTCACTATGTATTGTTTTTAATTTTTGCTGAAAAGCCCCATTTTCTTCCATTTCACCCTCCATTATTTCCTAAATGAAAATTCCCCGAGACTACTTCTTTTATGTCTGCTGGGTCTCCCTTGACCATCCTCATGTCTCGACTTACCTAGCTGTCCCCAGCCTTTTAGAAACTCAATAGCTCCTTCCACATTCTATTATTTCACAGGGTGGTCACAGGGGACCAGAGCACTAATGAGCAAGTTTCACATGAGCTAATTTTCAAGCATTTCAGAAAAAACAAGGTGGAAATCGCAACTGCAGTAACGATGCCATTTCCTTTCCTTATGAGCCTGCGGGACCAAGCCCTCATCTCTGAGCAAATGTATGAAGTAAGTGGGAAGTTCCTTGCAGTGGTAAAGCAGCCGCGTGCTCTGTTCTGCCCAACTTCACGGTGCAGCCAATGGGCTGAAAGGCCTTGTAGTGATGGAGCGGGAATTCTCCCAGGCGCAGGGCATCTTGGGCACGTTTGTACTGCTACAGCAAGCAGAAACACCACATTGACATCCAGGATTTGGAGGCAGATTTATTTAATATAGAATAGGCACTGACAAGGAATCAATCCTTATAAAAATGTCAGGCCCTGATCCTTGGTATTTGGGGCTTATATGGGATAAGCAAGCAGGGAGTACAGAAGCGGAGTATTTGGTGGTTATTGATTGATTCTTATAATATGCATCACAGTGACCAGCTGTTTCTAGGAGACAGAAGTAACAGGAAATTGTAACAGGAGCTGTTACCTGGGCAACTAACAGACTTGCTGGGAGGGCATTTTCTGCTATAGTATAACATACTAACAACTCACTACATTTAAAGTCAGTAAGCAGTCCAGGCAGGGCCTTATTACAAAGCCCTCTTATTTCAAACACTCTACCGTGAGAGTTTTGAAACTCACAGGCTAGTTGTGTCGCACTAGGATAAATTTGAAAGTAGATGCTTGCTACTCTCTCTCTCTGAGTGGCTTCTTATTCTTTAGACTTTTCCAAAGTCCCAGAATGCAGATAAAAGACACTGATGGGTCCCCTGGGGCGACTGAGGACAAAGCATCCCTGTGACTTTGGAACTGTGATGTTTCTTTGCCCTTAGATGAGGCTCACAGAAGAGGAAGATGGTCACTTGGCTTCCTAGAGTCCTTCAGGCCAGCCCAGCCCTGGGAGAGGACAATGGCTATTGTCCAGTCAGCAGAAGGGTCACTTTGGAAAAATTCTGGCCTGGCTCTTAAAGCTCCACACAACATTCAACTTTGAGCACACTTTTATTCTTTTTTAAGATTAAGTTTATTGGTACAGTTTAGACATTCCTCATAGGGAATCTGTACTCGTGCATGATATGTCTTAGCGCCTCTTTTTTCCCAATTACCCTCCCCTCCCTTCAACCCCTCTTCCCCTCCTTATCTACAAAGCTTTGTTTCCATTTTAGTCTTTAAAGTTACTATTTCTTTTCAACTATACATCAGTGTCACAGAGCCAGGTTCACAAAAATAATGGTCTATATCGCAGAGGGCACTTAAGCAGTCACCCAAATATACGCCAGATTCTAATATTTTGTGAGATAACAAATTGTCAGTATATTAATCTGTCTTTTACAACCCATAACTCCAAGGCCACATAATTCTCCATTCAATGTCTTTAAGAATTTTCAAGATGCTTGCACAAACCTGGTCCCAGTGACAAGAGTGGTGTATGATGTCCTCAATGAACTGGAGAAGACATTCCACCCATCGCTCCTGAAAGTGTTGTTCAGCAAAACCAACCTGCAGGCCTATCCTAATTTAAATAAGATTCTCAGAAGCTTCCAAAATGGTAACTAGAGCTTGCAATGACTTCTAGGGGGGTTAAGTCCAGTCCATTCACTCATTCTTCATTCATATTTGACAAGGGAAATACAGCGGTGGAGTAAACATGCATGACCCATGTCTTCCCAGAGTTTACACACAGGCCAGGTAATCCCACAGAAATGTGGGCTTTGTCCTCCAGGTCAAAGTCACCAGAGGAGCCCAGCCCAAGCCCAGGCATGGGGAGGGGCAGCACAGGAGAACTGTGAAGTGTGAAAGGGAGGCTGAATCACACAGGTGGGTGGGAGATGTGGAAGCCATTTTGGAGAGTCTGACACCTAACTCTAAAGAATTTGATATTTCTTTTTTGGGGAAATAAGGAAGCAATAAAGGATACTGTAGCAGGGAAAAGTAGATGTCAGTAGGAAGAATAGAATGTGTTGAATCTGGGAAAACTATACCTTGGTTAGAAGAAGAGCTCTCTCGTTTCCCTGTTAGGATACATTCAAGTCAGAGGAAGTGACAAAGGAAATCAAATACTCAGACTCAGATTCTGGGTCAATATCCCATCTGCAACCAGGACGCCCCTAGGCTGTGGGTACCCAGGGAATGGTGTTACCTTTACAGCAGGTATCTCTGCAGCTCTGACCCTCTCTGTGTTAGTCAGCTTTCTGTCACTGTGAGACAAACAGCTTAAAGAGGAAATGTTTGTTCTGGCTCCTGGCTTCAGTGCTCGCTGTCTCCTGGTGAGGCAGAACATCGAGGCAGAGAGCAAAGCTGTTCACTGCTGGTGACTAGGAAGCAAAAGGAAGGAGAGAAGGACTGGGGTCCCAGTATCACCCCCAGTGAATGATGTAGCTTCCTGCCTTGAGACCCCACATCCTAAAATCTCCACCAACTGCTGATAGCACTACAGGCTGTTGCCCAAGTCAACGTAGCCTTTGGGGGCCATTTACTCTCCATGGACTTAGGGACCCTGTTCCATAGGGTGGGTCAGCCCCACCGCCTGCATCCCATGTGTTACTCTCCCGTGCTTCCCAGCCTCACCAAAGCCTGCACAGGGGCTTCCCATGCCTTCTCTGTCCCTCTGGACCACACAGAACCCCCTGTGTCCCCCTCCAGGTGTGACATCAGTGTGTTCTGGGTGTGGGAAAGCAACAACTGTCTCCATAGGCCCTCTTTGCCTTACCCCTCCCGCTCCCCAACCCTGGTGGCTATTGCCCCCAAAAGGTATGCTCCCTTATCAGAGTTTCTGGGTGGCATCTTTCCTCACTTCTGTTTTTTTTTTTGTTTTTCTCCCTGTCTCGTGGGTCTTGCTTCTTCATCTGTGTTTGCTGGGTCACTCTGAAGTACAGCTCTGAAGCTCAGTGCCTGGAGCTGGCTTCCTGCACCTCCCATTGCCACCTCCCTAGGTCACTGGCTCAGGAGTGGCAATGGTCCCTTCCTGTTTGTGCCATTCAGAAAGCAGGTTTGCCTTGGTTTCTCAGTTATCACCCATTCCACTGGGGAATGCCAGCTCTTCTTCACTGCTATCTTTCTTTTTCACTAGATCATCTTCCCTGACTCAAACCAATGGTCCTCTCTCTTTTTCTCTTCTCCTTCTTTCTCCCCCTTCCTCATTCTTTCCTTTTTTCCTTTCTCTGTTCTTAAAAGCTGTTGTGTCCCCCCCTCACCCTCTCTCCTTCTCTCTTCCCTCCTTTACTCCCTCCCTCATTTTTCTTTCTCGGTTTTGTTGGAGACAGGATCTTGCTGTGTAGTTCAGGCTGGCTTTGAACTCATTATGTAGTCCCAGGCCGGCCTTGAGTTCACAGTGATCTTCTTGCTGAGGCCTCCCGAATGCTAGGATTACAGGCCTGTAGAGTAAGATTGGAGCCTGCTGTGTGGGATGTAGAGCCCCAGAAAAATAGAATCAGAAAAAAAACCCAAGACATGCACAGGACATATCATAAGGAGCATCACAGCCATGAAGAAGAGAAGAACTGAGAGATGCAAATTCTTGGTGTAGAAGTAACAACATGTGGTGACTGAAAAATGAGAAAGAGAAAAAAGGGAACGAGGTTGGGCAGAAGCAGAGCCTGGCTCTGAGCGGGGGTTCCTAGATGAGGTCCTGGGAGTGAGTGGCCATCTGCGCAATGAACGCCGGAGTTCAACGGGAAGCCTGAGGTCTCCCTCGGCCCCGAGTCCTGTTGGTTAGATTCCTGTGTTTTGCTTCAGTTTCCCATGAATACAAGGCTCTCCTGAGGACAAATGGAGCAGACACTGAAGAGATGCCCCGAGTACCATCGGGCGGTGGGAAAGGTAATTATGGTTCAAGTTACCAGTTGCCTCATTGAAATTGTTGGCCTGTCTGCAGGAAGGGACACTGTCCTTCCTTCCCTCTTCACCAACACAAGCACACACTTCTGTGCACCCCGTGGTGGTGGTCCCCAGGTGTGTGGCAGGGATGGGGAGAAGGAGGCTAAGTCTCTTAAGGGAGGGGCTCCTGGGGGAAGGGCACAGGAGAATAAAAATGTAGATTAGGAGTCAAATAGAGTTTCCTAAGTGGGCCTGATTTTATCTAAATGGATCTGGAATCTCAACACAGATTTGTCACGTAGTGATGGGGATACATCTGGGGAAATGTGCTGTTAGACAACTTCTTCATGGTGTGGGCATCACACTGTGGACCTGCACTAGCGAAGACAGTCACATCAGTAGGCTACAAATCTGCAGGGTCACAGTCACATGTGTGGTTTATCCCGGACTACAGTGTCATTCAGTGTCCCATGAGTGGACTGCCAGGCCAGTGTTTGGGAAGAAAGAGATCATTTCAAACTTACCAGTCATGGACTGTGTGGGAATAATGAAATAGGATGTCTAGGAAGCAAATTTGAAAAGCTAAACAGGGAGAAAATGGGAAAAAAGGTAAGAACCTCATGGAAGAAGAAAAAGACAGAAATGCAAAGAGAGGGCCGAAGTTAGGAAGAAGGAGCTGAGTCAAAGTGATCTGTGAATAGCTTCATAGTGATGGTGTGGGCACAGTCGTGCATGAAGACACACTTACAGGCAGGAAAGGGAAGAGAAGACACTCCAGGGAGCCTAACAAGGTGCTCGAGAGGGTGGAGCAAAGCTTGGCTGGCACAAACATACCTTTATTCCAAGGCAGCAGTCCTGCATCTGAACATCAGAGCCCACCACGACCATATCTGGGTAGGTGTCCACTGTCAACTGTGTGTCATGTTCTTGTTTCTTTCCTCATTTCCCTGGGAAAATGCTGTACAAATAGATGAAGGAAGAGAATCAGAAGAAATGCCCAGATTATTACCTTATGATGGAGACAGTAATAAAGATTAAAATTACCTATTATCTTTTTATTTTTTTTTTTTTGCACTAGGCATTGAACTCAGGGCCTTTGTGCTGTGCTACATCCCCAGATCCTTCTTCACATTTTATTTTGATACAGGGTCTCACTAAGTTACTAAGTTGTCCAGTCTTGGCTCAGACTCAGTCTTCCTGCCTCAGTCTTTCAGAGTGGTGGGATTACAGGGAAGCACCACCACTTCTGGCTACTCATTTCACTTATTTATATTTGTTCAATACAGGTAGACATCTATTATTTCACGTGCTTTTCTGTCCATTTATTCATCCATCCACTAATCTATCCATCTATTCATCAGTTCTTCCATCTATTCATCTATCCATCTACCATCTCCACATCCATCCATCCATCCAGCCAGCCAGCCAGCCAGCCAGCCAACTATCCATCACCATCCACTACCATCCACCATCCCTGTTGCACACAGACTGCCCAGCTTTTTCTCAGGCTAAACAAGCAGCAAAGAAGGCTAAATTCAGACTGATTGGGATTTTCTTATGTATAGAACATAAACAAAGCAAGATAGAATAGAAAATATAGACAAAGTATTTAAATACAGAGCTGAGTGATTGTCAGTTTTGCCTAAATGGACGTGGAATCCAAACATCACCAGACTGGGTACGTTATCAGTGAGGGGAGATAATTTTCATCTCCTTCCTCTGTGGCTGTGCCAGGAGCACGGACTAATGAGTATAATCACAATGTAGAAAAGAACTTTGATGATATGGGAGATGAGGTAATATCCAGAGGTACTGAAATTCACATTTGTAGATTAAAATTTTAGTTTGAAAAATTAAAAAGTTAACTAGAGACAACAGACAGCACAATGGAAAAAAGGAGGCAAGTTCAGTTATTAAACAAAGGGCAGAGTTATAAGGTGGAGAAAGTTATGTTAAGGGAGAAACAGAAAATGTTATGAGTTGGAGGCATTGGGAAAGAGGCACCAAAGTTATTCACAAAGAAAAAGAGAACAAAAGAGGACAGACGAAAATTCAACAGAGCAAAAACTACCTGCAAAGGAGAAAGAAGAGACATTGGAGGAATTAATGGAAGAGTCACTGGACAGATCCAACTTCTGGTATAAGGATGAACATGTTGGCAGTGAGTTTTCAAATCACAGGGTCCCAGTTACTAAACTGGTGACTATCATATACTCAGAGGGCCTCTGCCCAGGCACTCTTCTCTGCTTACATCTATAACTCAATCTGAAAACATATGTTTCTGTGCTAGTCAGCTTTTCATCATTATGACTGAATACCTGAGGAAAACAACTTAAAGGAGAAAAGGCTTATTTTTGGCTCACAGTTTCAGAGGATTCAGTCCATGGTTGATGGTTCTGTCACCTTCAGGCTTGTGGTGAGGCAGAGCCATCATGTCAGAGAGTGTGGTGGAGGAAAGCTGGTCACACCATGGCAGTCAGGAGGCAGAGAAGGTAAGGGAGGAAGAGAGAGGAAGGGGCCAGGACCCAGATACAGTCACAGAGTCAGAAGAAAACGAGGAAGCCCACAGAGTTCTCCAGGTTCTGGAGAAGTGGACTGGGACCTGTACAAGACTTTAGTAAGAAACTAATTAGGTAGGAGCAAGAGGCTCTGGTGTGCTGTTGCATAGACAGTAACTATACATTTCAAGGAGCTACAGTAGAAGGAAGAGTTTTGAAAGTTTTTACCATAAAGAAATGACAAGTGTTGAAGAAGATAAATATGTTTAACCTGATTTAAACATGTGATGCGTAAATAATGTGAACATTACATAGTATCCAATTAATATGTACTACTTTGTAGGTCAGTTAAAAAATAAAAAAGACTTTGAGAATAAAAATAAAATCATGGCAGCGAAGAGGGAAATCACAGAGAGACAGAGAACAGGGAAATCGAGCCTGCCCACCGGGATAGGAGAGGTATAAAGTAATAGAGGTAAACAGATAATAGGAATGGGATTCAGTGATACAGAAAGAGAAAAAGCCATAGAGACAAGGGTAAGAAAAGCCGGCAGGAAGGACTCTGGGACAACTGAAGAGAAGCTCCCTGAGGAAGCAGATATGTGGGGGCAAAGCTGCAGGCAGAACGGGGAGAAGGAGAAGAAGCAGAGACAGTAAGAGAGAAAAAAGGAGCAGCAGGACCGCGTGGCTCTAGCTGTGTGGAACAGGCCCAAGGGTTTCCCCCCATGGTGGCGCAACACTCTGGGGTCTCTGCTTCCAGGTCGTAGTTCATCCTTTCCTTGTTCTCTGCAGAGATTTGTGATCCACAAACTCCCCACATGACTAACAGAGGAGGAGAGAAGGTGCTCAGTCTCCCACCAGACAAGGGAGGGGGCAATGACAAGTCTGATTTCCAGTGGCCTTTTGGTAAGGAAAACAATCTCCCCCTTCTTCTATCTCGTTCTTTTATTCTTCATATTTGCATATGTACAGATGGAATTACGTTCATTGTCTGCTTTGTTTTTCAAAACTGTGAGAGAGACAAAGGATAAAGCTGAGGCGAATGGCCGAGTCGGGGTATCCTGTGTAGAGGACATAGAAAGAGAATGTGCCTCAGTCAGGCTGTGGTGCTGGTGAGGAAGGGCCAGGGTGATCCTATTAAATGCACATCACACACAAGTATCAGCAGGCTATGGCAGCTGAGGTGGGGAGATTATTTCAGCTGCTTGTGGAAGTACTAAGTACTTAGACCTAAATTTTGCGAGTGACGGAAGTCTTGCAGGTTGGGAAGTCATGTGGGAAACTGTTGGGCAAGAGCTGACCAAAGAAATGTCTCTGATGCTGTGATTCCTATGAACGTGGGAGAACTTTTGCCAGCCCAGGGCTTGAGATCTTCAAGATTGAGGAAAATGTAGAAAATACTGGGAATTATGCAGGCATCCAGAGGGGTTAGGATAAAACCCAGAGAAACAGAGATAGAAAAGCAGAGACTGAGAGACAAAGTAGCAAGGGGCTAACTTCAGTGAGAAACAAGATGTAGAGGAAAAGTTAGAGAAAGGTGCGCAGAGGCAAAAAATACTACCAAAAATCATCATCATCATCATCATCATCATAATATGGGAAGGAAGCGGAGAGGAAGCTATGCAGAGAAAGAGGTGAATCAAATAAACAATTTCTAAAGAGTAAAAACTGTGTTTAAGGGAAGAAGTCACACTTAAGTAAGACTCACTAGATAGAGCAACATCCAAAAAAGGGGTCTCTCTCTGTAGGGAATTTCCAATTGAGGTCTCCCCAAGTAGAGTGACTGTGAGATACACCCAGAGTTCTAATCTTCCTCCTGGCATTTTCACCTGCTCTCAGATAAGGGAATGGTTCTCAATTGCATGTCTGCCAGGCTGGCCTGTCTTGCAAACACATCCTTCCACATACCTGAGGGTGCTTATTCTAGAACTTTCTCCATCACAATGTTTTTCAGAAACCGAGGACCCCCAGTAGAAACCAATGTCTTTCTGACACCAGAAGCTCCTGTCTCTCCAGGCTTCCCTCTCTCAGTAAAGAATAAGTGCCCTGAATTCTCTTGCACCCATCCTTCTCATTTTCTTCACTTCCACACAATTGCTATTTGCAAGACATATATCAGACTCTATTACTTTCCAACTATGCCTGGTGATCTTTGTTGTCTGATCATCCAGTTGCTTACCCTTCCTGGAGAGCTTTGTGGCTTTTGTCCACCACAGGGCTGCACCTTACATCCTCTGCCTCATCTCCACCAGCAGCATCCATAGCTCCAGAGTTCGCGACATTTGGATCTTTCTTTTCTAAGGGAGCTATTTGACACACCATTCCCTGCATTGGGTGCTGTTTCCCTGGCTCCCTCTGCTCCTTCTCCCCTCTCTGACCTCACTCCTATCCCACGGTGGGCGTTCCCAGTGCGCAGGAAGAGAAAGGGGGAGGATACAGTGTGGAAAAAGAAATAAATGAGATGAGGAAAGATGGTAAACAGCAGAACGCAGGAAAAAAAGACAGGAGCAAAAGAAGGGGCCAGAAACACATCTGAACAAAGAGAAGTATCTGGAGACACTGGCTGCTAGAAACCAGGGCAGACTCGAGGCAGTGCGCAGAGCAGAGGAAAGGGGAGAGGAGAGGAAGGAGGGGAGAGAACTTGGCGGTGGAAGGAAGCAAGCTGGAGGAGGGTGGTGCCTTGGTGACGGTGACAAGTGTGTCCACCTGCATGCGAGGTGAACCCAAAGGGCAGGCACTGGAGTCCGGGCAGATGCAGTCCTACCCAGGAGACACTGGGCTTCCCACACCTTCATGATGAGTGCCCGCCATGAGTTCCCTTTGGAGGTACACGGTGCCCTTGGCTGTGGACAGAGGGATTTCATTTCTTTCCTGCAGAGAACAGTGACGACTGTGTGGAGATGTCTGAGGCAGAGGAGCCCCAAGAAACCTCAAGCTCCCCTGCAAGACACGGGCCTGGTAAGGAAGCACTGTCTTTTTTTATTAGTGTATGTTTTTGATCCATAATAATTATATTCATCTCGGGGAGTTGGTGTATATACATATCCCATTTTGATCATTTGTGTGCCCAGTCCTCCTGCCTTCCCTTCCCGCTTCCCCGATTCCCCTTCTCATCTCCACAGAGTCTACTTCCACGTTTCCTACCATCACTTTTTTAGTTTGTTCTTCTATGTTATTCACATTTCAGGTTTCAATAGTAGAGAAACCGTGCAACAGCTAACCTTCTATGTCTGATTTAGTTCATTTAGTGTTACGGTCTCAAGATTCATCCATTTTCCTACTCACGACTCAAACTTATCCTTCTCTGTGGCCAAATAGCACTCCACGGTGAAGGAGTCCAGCCTGGGCCTCAGGCCGGCAGCGGCCCTGCGCAGCGGGGTGTGCTGCTGGTGCATGCTGACTGTACTCTAGCGAGTCTGGCCTGTTCTCAGAGACAGAGTTCTTGGCATTTACCTTGGCCCACTCGGGGAAACAAGGAAAAAATTCTCATGAATTCTTGTGACCCTTATTGGCAGCCTCTGTGGTTGCATGTGTGTACTGGAGGAGTAGGCACCAAGGAAAGACAGTGTCCTTTTTCCTTTGCACTCTTTCTGCTGAAGACTCTACGGTGTGATTTCGATCCCTGCGCATCCCTCCTTTTCTCCAGACTTCCCGGCTCTGCCTGAGCACAGAGGTGTGTTTCTGGGTCCTTCTGCATGGTCCATTTTGTCTTTGTTTCCCTTCAGTGTCCTGTGACCCTGAAGCTCCCCAGATGACTGATGGAGACGCAGCAGAGGAGGGGCCAAGCCAAGCACCGTGTCACGAAGAAGAAGGTAATTGGGCCTTCTAGGCCCAGTCACTGACGAATCTTTGTTTGCCTGTCTGGAGGAAGGAAAATCTCTCCGTTTCCCTCCTATTCTCCCCACTCCTTTCATGTACCAGACAGAAGAAAGGTGCAGAGCCTTTGGAAGGGTCAGAAACAGAGACAAGGAGATGGCAGGGAGGGACCAAGGGGATGGACTGATGGGCCCTGTTATCCTCCAGGTCAGGGAGCTGCAGAGGCAGGAAGGTCTTAGGACAGGGACATCTGCCTAGAACTTGAGCTGCATGGATTTTCCTGGTTGTCTTGGGGTAGGCTTTCCAGCTATGACTTCCCTCGGTCACACATGCGTCCTTTAAGGGATTTCATTCTATTCTGCAGAAGGTAATGGGCTCTGTTTGCAAAGGTTTGATGGAGAAGAGCCCCAGGGAGCCTTGTGCTCCCACAGAGACCTGGCTGGGGGAACAGAGGCAAGGGCTGTGTGGGCTGCAGGGTGTTGGAGGCTGAATTCTGAGCAGGTGTTACCTGGTGGATTTCCTTTACAATGAAAACATCCGGTTACTCCTTGAGTTCTATTCTGCACTTTTACTTATGGCTTTGGGGGAAATTCAAGGAGCAAAGAAACCTTGAGAAACCATATGACTAGGGTCTAGTTTGATGTTAGATCTTGTGTTCATATATTCAGGTGTACTAGAAGTACACTAGGAAGGCAGAGCACACTTTTGTTTTTTCCACACATTTTGACACTATTATTTCAATTCATACAATAATTTCTGTTCTCACTCCTTCTATGAAAATGGAAAAGTGTAGTATTCCTCTGCAGACTAATTACTTTTGTCATTTTGTAGCAAACTTGACAAAGCTTTCAAAGAAACAGTACACTTCTAATTAACAGAATTCAGGTGAACTATTTCTGAAACCAAATGCTATTTTAGATCAATATTCTTCATTATGTCATACTCTTAATCCTCAAAAACCTTAAGACTTAAGTAGGCCAATTGTTGTTAATGTTCTAAGAAGCTAGAGACACAAAGGGGTGTAAGATATGGGTGCTTTGTAAGTCCCAAGAACGATAGGAAGAACAAAGATCAGGTTCCTGGATGACACCATATGGGCTTTTAGTTATCTGATGCTGCCATGTTTTGTTTTGTTTTGTTTTGTTTTGTTTTGTTTTGTTTTGTTTTGTTTTGTTCTGAGACAGGGTCTCACTATGTAGTTCAGACTGGGCTTAAACTTGCTTATATAGCCCAGGCTGGCCTCAAACTCACAGCAATCCTCCTGCCTCAGCCTCTGGAGTTCTGGGATTAGAGGCATGCACCACTATGCCCAGCTGTTGCCATGATTTAGGGCTCAGTCCATGGTCTAAATCCAAAGTGAAAACCCAGAGGATTCTATCAGGGTTCAGTGGAAAGAGATTTTATTTAGCAGGTAAAGAATGCATAGGAGAGAAGAGAAAAACATCAGAAGGAGTTAGAAAATATGTGAAGATCAGCTACTATTCTACATGGGTAGGAGGTAACCTGAAAAATAGAGCTAGAAAAGGTGAACATAGAGGCAATGTGAGTATGCGTAGTGTATCTCTCAAGGGGCAAAACACGGATATGTAAGAGGCTAGGAAATGTCAGGGAGAGAAAGTCCAGAGAGTAAAAGGAAAACATGTATGTACAATGAAGAGAAGAGGCTGCTTCTTAATATCTAACGGAGGACTGAATTCATTCTTTTTAAAAGCAAAAACCAGCTGTTCTCCAAACAGACACTCATGTTGGGGGAAGGAAGTAGGCTTGTGCAGGAACAGGCTGACCATTAGCTGGGAAAGCAGGGAACGACAACGTGGCCCTTACTGATTGGCTGACTGGTAGAAGCGGAGATGTGAGTGGTTGGCGCCTTTCAGAGCACTGTGCACTGGACCGAAGCCGTCACTGATTAACTGATTGTGCTGTTTCTTTTTCATTTGGCCAAAGAATGTGGGTTTTCCCAACAGCAAAGGAACTTTTAATTCTCAGTTTCCTTTTTAGGAAGTCTCTTATCCAAAGGTGCAAGTAGGACCATCCAGTTTGTCCACATCCAAATTATCTTGTCTGGGAAAGGACACTGGAAATAAAATTCTAGGACCCTGCATGAGTAAGAGTTATACCTTTGTTAGACGAGAGTGTTGAATCTGTGCAAGACTATGGAAGTGGTAATGATATTTAATGATGAATTGATAAAATGTCAGCAAATTGTTGAATGTTTTCAAACAGCAATAGGTTTCTACTGCTTGCAGTACCATCTAGAGACATTTCAAGTACAAAATCACAAGAAGCCTGGGTGAACATATTCACCTGCAGTTGCTTCAAGCCAACTAGATAAGCTATGGCTGTTAGCAGTGGGGCCTTTGACTCTGGTCATGTTTTGAACCAGTACCTCTAGAGAACGGCCTATTTTCTATGTTCAAACAAAATAAAAATATTTATGATAATGTGGGGGCTCTCACAGTATTGCTCCAAAACTTTGGTTCCAAAGTATTGAATATAGTCAGATGTAAGGAGGTCTGATAATTCTGAAAGATTGACCCCATGGTCTTCAAGACCCGATTCATCCTAGAAACTCTCTTTGAGTTACTGCTTTGGGGTCATTCTGAAAACTTTGCAACATTTCTTCACATATAATATCTTTTCTTCACCCAACAAAGCATGTGACCTCAACCACACTGACTTTTTATTATTTCCAGAGAACAGTATTTTCCTACTGGAAGATAAGCACTTTAGTGTTATTCTCAGGGCTACAAGTAGAAGAATAAAAGTAGAGAAAGAGGTGCAAAATGGAAAGAGTGTGACTCTGTTAGATCTCAGGTATGACCGCTGGAGCAGGGACTTTTTCCCAGGGAGCAGTTGTCTTAGCGCCATATGTCAATGTGCACCATGGTAGCAGAGGGGACTCTTCTCTGGCCACCATTTGCGGGATCCATGGACAGTAATTTCCTTGTTTTCATTAGAATCTGGTGAACTACAAGACTATCGCATGAATGAAGAAGGAGAATGTGAAGAGCTTCCTTCTAGCCCACTGCACCAAAATAAACAAGGTAATTTTAACAATAACGACAACAAATAAATAAAACCATGCATAGTTCTGGTAAAGAGGAAACAATAGGAGAGGAAGAGAGAGTGATGAGAAGAACCAGATATGGGGAGAAACAGTGAAAGGAGATTTCAGAGGAAGAAGTGAAGAGAGGGAACTAACAAGGATGTGGAGAAGAGGGTCACCAGAGTGGATGAAAAGTCTTCATAAATTGCATTTTTGTCCCCGGAGCAGAGCAATCAGGATATGAAACTGAGAAGTGTTCCTGTGTCATGTGTTGCCCCAAAGTTTCAAAAGGTCCGGAAGCAAGGACAGACAGTAGCGAAGCATGTGACCCCGCGGGTAAGGGTGCCTCTGATAGTGCTATCTGGGGACGGTGTGGGTACCACAGATCCCAGGCTAAGTAGTGGCAGGTGGTCTAGCAATCCCAGAATCCCTTTCTGCCTTTGCTTGACTTGAGTCTTTTGGGAACTGTAAGGAGGCAAGAAACCTTTATACAGTCATGTTTAATGGGATGGGTGGACTCTTTTGGTTATGTATACACGGTGTAGCACAAATACACTCTTTAAAATCAAGTAGCTGGGCATGGTGGTGCAGGCAGGAGGAACACAAGCTAGAGCCTAGCCTGGGCAATTTAGTGACTTAGTGAAAACCTGTCTCAGAATAAAAGGGACTTGGGGATTTAGCTCAGTGAGTCTAGTCCCCAGTATCAAATATATATATATATATATATTATTATATATATATATATATATATTATTTGCCAAATTGATACATTAAGTCACACCCAGACTTTCCCAGAACCCAAGAAAACCATGTGCCCTTCTGCTAGTGAATGATAGTGTCACTTTGGCACTTTAGAAAGATTTCTGTCAGCTGAAAACTCATCCTGCCACTTATTTTTCAGGAGAGAAGACTTCAGATCAACTATTTCTAATCTAGATCAAATATTTCTAATCAATATTTTTGACTGAAATCCTCTAGCATATTACTGATTTACATAAGGATTTCATATAACATTTTGCACATAAAATAGTATTTGACCCACACAAAGATCCTAAGACCTACACAGAGTAGGACAGCTGTTTCTATCACCATGGAAACTGAAGTACATAGATATTGAAGTGTCTTTTAAAGTCCCACTGAGAAAATAAAAAAGACCCAGAGCCATTCAGGACTCCTGGGTCTCAGTTCAGTAGGTTTTCAGACTCCTTTAAAAGGAAGAAAGGAAAAAAAATAAATAAATAAAAGGAAGAAAGGAATGATCATCCAAACTTTAAGCCTCATACACTTAAGCTTCCTGTGGTTTGAACTGTCATAAGATTTGTAACTTTTACTTAATTCCTGTGTCCTCATTTCCGCTTGTTATTTTCTAGGTACTTCACATACTGGAACCAATTCTATTTTAGGAAAACCCAAGAGGAAAAGAAGTAAGAATAACTGAGAATATACTTGCTTTTGATGTTATGAGGCAAGTTAATGCCAGGCTTTCGCACAAGGAGCTCAGTCCCAAAGGCCACTCAGTATCTCCAGGAGAGAGGTGTTCACAGTTGTCAAGCTCCCCCAGGGCACACGAGCATTAGCCCAAAGGAAGGTGGATGATGACTGCAGTGTGGCCCTGGCCTGCTATAGCTCCCAGATCCCTCCCTGGCTCTAGTCCTTCTGTGGGGAATGGGTACTAACTGAGGACAGTCTGGCCAGTTTACCCTCCTATACCAACCAGGTGGCATTGTCTCAGCATTCTCAGTGGTGGCAGAGCCATACCAGAGCCTTTTCCTTCTGGACCTGGGGCGATTCTGAATGTTCCTCTCTTTCTTGCACCTCCTAGGGCTTGGGGTACGGCCCCCTCTGATACCTGGGCTCTTACCCTTCACGGTCACAAAATCTGTGTGCAGCACTCCAGGGTTGTAGCTTCATTGTTTTTCCCAGTCATCTCCTTTTCTCACTCATAAGGCTTAGTAGGGCAAAAGCATTTTTGTAAAATGTTAACTGGAATTAAATCAGAACCCCCTGCGCACTCTAAAGGCTGTGTCTACTAGGTTGACAGGGGAAAGAACAAGGCACCATCCCCAGGAATGGTCAGAAGAGAAGTTTGAATTTTCAAAATAGGTTTGTACATCACTCTACTTTGTCCTGATGGTTATCTAGGAAGGCATAGGTCCTGGGGTGCTTGGTAGGAGAAGACGAGGGCTGTAGAGTCAGGCAATCAGCACATGTTTTGAATAACTTGTTAGAGAGTACGTCATTGGTGGACTGCAAATGGTCTAGACAGCCAGGCTCACGACACCTGAGTGTCTCAGGTTGCAGTGGTGTGGCCAGAGTCAGCTGATCCATAACAGCCCAAGAGTAGCTCAGAGGGCTGATCGCTGTGCACACAGGGGAAAAGCACCTTTGGTACCCCATTCCTATGGACCAAAGCTGGAAATAATACTTGCACACTCCTAACATACAAGACTTGGAGAATTCTATTTATAGCTCTGACTAATTAACTTCATTCTCTTTGAAGGAAAAAAGAAAGGGCACAACTGGACAAAAATAAAAAAGAAAAAGCCACAAAACATACATCAAAAAGGTAAGTGGGCAATGTGGCTATAATGGTTGGTACACGGTGTCAACTTGAGAAGTCTAGAAGCTTAACTAAGTGACTCAGTAATTCTACCTCCTAGGGTATAGAGGACATGCCCTAGGGTGACTGTTTACACCTTAGGATATTGTAATGGTTGATATATTACGTCAACTTGAGAAGTTTAGAAGTTTAACTAAGCAACTCACCAGGGGGCCAGCATCCTCACTTTGTAAACATCCTGAGCCTGTGCAAGAGGAGGGCACAGAGATGAGTACTACCCTTTCCTAGTACCTGCATACAATATAGGGGAGCAAAAGAGGCTTACTCTCCCTTTTTTGCTCTTGTTGCTTTTGCTGTCTTCTCCCACCTTGAATGTTTGCCCTTCAGCCATGTCACCCTGCCTTGGAGGTAGCTGATTATGGACTGAAACCTCCACAAACTGTGAGCTAAATAAATCTTTCTTTAATCTGGGGCATGGTGTATTTTGTCCCAGACACAAGAGAAAAGTAACTAACACAGTGGAGCAGCCCTAGTTATTGAGGTCAGGAGGGCACTGCTGGTCATAGGCTCGAGGCTTGTGTTCTGCTAAGACTGGAATGTTCTTGTGGCCACTATGTCAGTCAGAACACAGGGTAAGATGTTGCAACAGAGGGGCCCCAAAATGCAATGGCTTTTCAAAATAGTTTATTTCTCATACATGTAATAGTGGCCCAGAGTCAATGGAGAGGTGTTGCCACCTTCAGTATGTGGCCTTCTTCTCTAGCTCATAAATTCTTATTATTTGGAAACATATTCCAAAGAAGGTTAAATGAAGAAAACAGATTATATGTGTGTATGTTGTAAAATAATATATATGTATAATTATATATATATATATTTCTGAAAGTATTTGTATGCACTAAATCTAGATAGATACATAAGTATCTATCTACCTATACAGAGACATAGATATGGATACATAGAAAAATTAGTGGCAGCTCATCCATGAAAATATATGCTTTGGTTATATTTGGTCATTTGAATAAAGGTGCAGTTTGTATTCACATATATAGTTTTTAAATACACATGTGTATACCGAAAATATTGAACATGTTCAACTTTTGTATGAAAAAGTATTTAAAAACTAACATATACAAAGAAAAAAGGGGGGCTGGGAATTTAGCTCAGTGGCAAAAGCGCCTGCCTGGCAAGCGCAAGGTCATGAGTTCGGTTCCCGGTACCGGAGAAAAACAAAACAAAACAAAACAAAACAAAAAAAAAAAAACAAAGAAAAAAGCTTAGGAGGATTTTTTGTCAGCACATGTTTGTGGTACATCATGAATGTACTCTTTGTGAGTAGTTGGGACTGATTTAAAAGAGAATCCCTTGGATAGTGAGGTTGACCTTTCATTGTTTAGGATAAAGAAATTTCTTAGGTCAGTACTAAACTAAGAGTTAGAGGTTGGATTCTAATATACATTACAGAAATTCAGAAAATAAAATTGCATGAAAACACCATCTGGCGACAGCCACAATTAATTTTTTCAAAAATGTCCTCCTAAACAGGGAGCGAGATCTTTGGTAAGTGGAAAGGGGATTGAGAGATGGGCAGAGGAGATGGAGAAAGGAAGAGGAGATGTGAGAAGAAATCAGATATGTCACATACATGTACCAACTGGCATTCAGTCGGGGCTTCTACTGAAATTTTGAAAGGAGGAAATTGACAACCTGGTCACACTTACTTCTAGAGTTTAGTACTGACCATAACAATTATTTTAAGATAACTTTAAATTAAATTCTGAGCACTGTAATATTTATGAAAGGTTTCCATGCTATGGAATGAGTATTAGAGTCTGGACCACAATAACAGCTGAATCTTATCCTGCTTAGCCACGCTACTTTGAGGTCAAACATGGAATGCCAGATTAAAAATTAGCTGGACTTAAACTCCACATCTCCTGATGCCAAAGGCTCCAAGGTCTAGAAAAAACTCCGATGCGTTTCCTTTTCTCCCTAAAAATATTTGTCCTAAACAGGTTTAATGAAAGGTAAGTCCAATATACCCACCAGTCTCAGAAAAGCTATAACCAAGCAGAAGTAGAGAGAAAGACAGCAAGAATTCTGTATTCACTGGACTGTCCAGGGTAATGGCCAGAGCTTAAGTATCAAGCCTGGCTGAAATACAGGAAGGGAAAGAGCAGCAAGCATAAGACATCTGAATTTCTTTCCACCCTGATTATGGATCCCAGAAGGGAGGAATGTGGGACACCCAGGCATACCCTGGCCTCCAAGAACTCTGTTAGCACCTTGAATGACAGAGGAGAGGAGAGCCTGTTGGAGAGCCACACCTGGTGGATGGCCTTCCAATGAGTGGTGATTCCACTGAGCAGAGGGAGGAAATGAGAAGAAGTAAAGTGATTAATATGCCTCCTGGGAGGACCACATTTGCACTGCTTTAGTAATCTTCTTAGCCTTCCTGTTAATATATACCACCTCCTATTTTCTCATACTAGTTTGCCCTGCTCTTCTGGAACTCTTGCTTGAGCTCACGTTAGTCTGGTTGAATATTGTGATAAGGGTGAAACTTCTTTGATCTTAGAATGAGGGCTCTTTGTTAGTATTTGTGCCATGAGGCATTTTGGCCTACAGTAACTGTTTAGATTGGAAACCTAAAAGTGCGATTATATGACCAAACAATAAGTCTACTTTGGGTTTGACTGATGTAAAAATTATTTTTATTTTGCTGGCCTAACATGTGGAGGGTTTATGGCACTTAGGACTGAGTAGTTTGGAAAATATTTCCTCTTCGTGGTCACTGAGTAGTGGGACATTGAGTACAAGGAAGAAGAAATTTTTTGCATGGATGCTTTAGAAAATAAAACATCACATTTGAGTGATAGGAAACATGGCGGTGGCCATCTCCAACCAATTAACTTGAAAATGGAAGAGAATTCTCTGTTGCAGCATCTACCAAATCAATTCTCAATTAGTGTTGGCAGCACAAGTTTTGGAAGACTCTGTGCCTGTGGCTAGCCTTCTTCAGGTTAGATTTTAGATCCTAGTATTTCTGTCCAAAAGCAAGTGGGCAAAGCCCTTGGTCACAATTGCTATCACTTTTAGCACAAATATGAAAATACCTTTAATCAAGATGTGTGTCAAGTATCTCACTTGGAACCTAACTGGTTTTCTCATAACTCCTAGAACTGCCATTTAACTCTCTTTCTCCACTTAATTTTATAGTTTTGTCTCAGTTTTCTATGAATATTTTAGTTTCTTTAATGGGGTAATAATCACCTTGATCTTCTATATTCGTTGCAAGTAGGAAATTAGTAGATTATACAAGTGCTTGGCATAGACATAGACTTAAGATACTTCTACTCGAGATGTAAGTGAAATGCTAATTTCAATTTTTTTGATAATGTGAAGATATAAAAATGAACTACAAGATGAGCCTGAGACTGACCACCTTAGTCTTGATAACTAAAGGAGATACCTCTTCTATTCATGCATTAGTCAGACTTTTCAAAATTGCAGTGAAATAAAGTTTTTGAAAAGCACTAATGCATGAAATGCAATGATTCATCTAGAATGCATATAGAATGCAAGCCTTCTATAATATCTGTAATTATATTTGTTCTTTTTTCTTAGGGACAAGGAGACGCATATCTAGAATCCTGTTAACTCAGAAGGACAGAGCCACACAGAAAAGAGTCCAATCAAAGGGTAAGAAGGAAGGAGGACTATGGTACACTTTTAATATCTAAACATCTAATTTCCAGTCATCTACTCTGTGTTTCTAGTAATAAATATATTTTCATAATTGCTTAATTTAGCTGTACAAACAAATGAGAAATGTACTCTGTTTAGTCATTATGTCTGAGAGAGAAACAAGAAACTTAGAGGTGCATGTAAACCAAACCCTGCTGTAGTCAGGGTTTGCAAGGGGAACAATATAGGACACGTAATTTACCCGATTATTTGTAATAGTCACCCAAAGATTCATATACAGTGAGTACAGGAAATCTGTCCACACACTATAGACCCAAAGAATGAAGCTGAGGGCCTGGATCACATGGCAATGTCCTGCATGAGTCCAGCTGAAGGCCTAGAGCCCATAACAGTGCCCCCCGTTAGTCCACCTGGAGCCAAGAGAGCACAACAATATCTCACACAGGCCTATCTCAAAGATCAGCTCTGGGAGGGTCCAAAGGTCAGTGGTGGAAACTATAAAGTCTGTGCCAGCAGGATAAAGGAGCTATGCTAGCAGGCTGAGGGATCTGCACTGGTGCCAGAAAGCGATGCTCAAAGTAAGAACCAGAGCTCCCCCAAAAAGTACCACAGCACCAACAAGGTCCTCAGCTCCTCTGATGATGAGAGGAGCAAAGTCTCCATCAGGAAAGCCAGCGTGACAAGCTTCTCCAGGACACTGAACAGTGTACCATCTTCCCCTCTGGAACCAGGAAGCAATGCTCAAAGTGAGGGCCAGAGTTCCCCCAAAGTGAACCATAGCCATTCTCAATGACAACAAGGTCCTGAGCTCCTCCAATGCTGAGAACAGCCGAGTCCATCAAGAAAACCGATGATTCTAGAGCTCTGCTGTAGCTACTCTTTCAGCCAGGAGAAAGCTGCTATGAAGGACAGATACCAGATCTTGTTGGGCTGCCCCACGGTGATCCTGATCACTGCACAGCCAGACCCTGGCACCCATTTTACTTGCCCATAGTTACAGAGATCAACTTGCTTTGAAATGAAGACACTGGATGGTCCCTTGTAGGAAATCCACATCCCTCTGCAGTTCCTCAGGCAGAGTATCTCTCAAAAGCACCTAGTCCAACTCCCACTTGCAGAGTCACCCCCAGGCATGGGAATCACCTTTCCTCATTAGTTCCCTTGCTGACTTTCTGCTCAGCACTCTGCCACCATCACGACCTCCACCTTTATACTTCTCAGGGGCAAGTCCTTTGGTCTTACCTACTCTGACATCTTCAGGGTCAAAGGCCCGTCTCCTGCATGGATATCTTAAAGCCTTACCACCTTGCTGGAGGGTGATGTCTGAAAAGTCTTCCCAAAGAACTACTACAGCCTCTCTCTTAAGTCCTGAAGGTGGAGAAGATAGACGGGAGAGCTGTTTACCATATTCCCTGCCAAGCTTGTGCGGCAGGCCAGACTAGCAACTGGCAGTAGATTTAGGAATACTGAGCTCCTATTGCACTGCTCTGGGGTATCAAGGTATTTGTGATACTGGGGAAACCAAGGGGTCACATAAACATTCTGACAACCTCTTTTACTCAGAATGGTTAGTTTCAACTATTAACAGTATTATATTCTATTTTTTAAATGACCATGAAATGCCAACATTTTTTTCTTGAGACAGGGTCTCACTATGCAGTTCAGGCTGGCCTTGAACTGACTATGTACCCCAGACTGGTCTCGAACTCACAGTAATCCTGCTGTTTCAGCCTTCTGAGTGCCTGGCTTACAGTACTGTATTTAAATAACATTATTTTTCTTGGCATAGGCTTCTTTGTGCTTGATTGAACAAAAGATTCCTTTCCACCCTAGTCTGGTCCCAATCTGCTCAAAGAAACAGCATCTAGAATTGAATATATGGAGAGGTTTTTGCTGAGGGCCTGGACTACCCAAATCAGCAACCAAAGATGCCAGTCATGGGAAGCAACCACTTCTACAGTCATATAATTTGAATGATGCAGACCCAGCCACTCATAGCAAGTAGCTCTCTTTTGACACATTCAGTCCACACATAAACGATGTCCTGCATTCTTCTAATCTGTCTTTTAAGTCAGTCTTTGTGCTACCTTTACCTTTACAATTCTTAGACCTTGAATCTTAATTTCTACAAGTTCCTCCTTGAGTAGCTGTCATTGTGCTGGTTTCTAACTCCTTGGCCATTTTCTCCACCATCTGCAGTAGGAAAATCTTTAAAGTTTAGGTTCATGGCAAATTTATGGTTGGTAGAATCCACCACGAGGTCTGGCTTGAGACCTTCTATGGCTGCTTTCTTAAAGGGGAATTTCAATATCTTTATGTAAGTGTTTTTAAAATAAATTTACTTATCTGTAAAATGAGGGTAACATTAGTACCAATTTGACAGATTTCTTCTGAGGATTAAGTAAATTCACAGAGGAAAAAGGTCTAAAGGTAGTTCCTGGCACAAAATAAGTACTCAGCATCTGTTGATTCTTAAGATTCAAGGTCTAAGAATTGTAGAGGTAAAGGTAGCAAGAAGACTGACTTAAAAGACAGATTAGAAGAATGCAGGACATCATTTATGTATGGACTGAATGTGTCAAAAGAGAGCTACTTGCTATGAGTGGCTGGGTCTGCATCATTCAAATTATATGACTGTAAAAGTGGTTGCTTCCCATGACTGGCATCTTTGGTTGCTGATGTGAGTAGTCCAGGCCCTCAGCAAAAACCTCTCCATTATTGTTCCAACCCTTTTGCTCGAGAAACATACTAAAACACACTAAAATTTATTTGGAATGAGTTGGAAAAATTAATGGAGAAATGTAAGATGAATCTTTGTTAAGAAACATCTTTATAAATAAGCCTCAACAAAGTCAGCCAGCTTGGTCCACAAGGCGGATCCAGCCTACCAACTGCTTGTAAATAAAGCTTTATTGAAACACAGTCACATCCTCCCATTTACATAACGTCTGTGGACGTTCTTTTGATACACCTGCAGAGCTGAAGCGTGACAATGGAGATTATATACCACAAAAGCGTAAATATTTACTATGTGGCTCTTTGCAGAAAAAAACCTTGTTCTGACCTAGACATCTGATGTTTTTCTTTAAATACTAGACAGGCTCCTGAGAAGTTACCTTTAAATGGTGTTTTTATAAAACATAGCTACTTGCAATGCAGTGTTGTAAGCAAAAGATACTGATGCTGTTTTTCAACTTTCATAGGGAGAAGAAGAGTCAACATTAAACCTTTGAAGAGAGTTGGGGAAAAAGGTAAAATAAATGACTAATAAACTTTAAATGATTAACATTTAAATTTTTACTCTAATCTTGTGAGTGACAAGTTAGTTTTCCTAACCGACTAATAGTGTGAGTACCAAACATTAGGATCCTCACCACCACTGGTTTTGTCAACATGAGAGGCTGGCGGTAACTCCCTTCACCATGCTGACTTTTAACAGGCCCTTCTCTTGCCCGTGTAGAAAACCACAGACTGTGCATATTAGGATTCCCTAGGTAGTAACCCAATACCCATATTGTAATTCCTATACTTCTTTTGACTGTAACTTTGATCTGGCATTTGCTTTTTTTTTTTTTTTACACTCAATTTCCTCATCTGTAAAGATGTAGGAGAGGGTGCCTGTGAATTAGACTGAGATTCTGGCAGAACCACCCAGGCTCTGACAGTCTGTGTATATCTGAGATAACCCTGGAAAGACCATGAATGACCCTTTATCCCCACCCAAGAGAGAAACCCCAGGCTGTGTTTGATGGATTCCCCTCAACCTTTAATTTGAAGACCTTCAGAACTGGGCCAGGGATGTAGCTCAGTGGGCACAGTGCCTGCTTGTCAAGCACAAGGCCCTGAGTTCAATTCCTGGTACCAAAACAAAAAAGAAAAAGAAGACCTTCAGAACTGGCTTTAGTGGAATCACATCCACAGTGACCCTCATGTGGTGTTCAGGGCTCCCTGAGAAACTTGCAGTCTCCATTAGAACCACTGCCCTGAGCTGCTAAGAAAGCTCAAGTGAAGAAGAAGCAAAGTAGAGGCCAAAGAGAGAGACAGACAGAACCCTGTTAGGTGCCCACTGCCGTCCTGCTCTGCTTCTCCAGTTGATGCCTTGAACAGGGACACTAGATTCAAATTTGAGTTATTTTCTCCCTTTTCCTGAGCTCAAAGGCATAAAATTACCATAAATCTCTCTTCCAAACACCAGGAAGAAAGTCTTTGTGCAGTAGGTAGTTGGATCAACAAACTTGGGAGCTCAGATCTTGCCCATAAGGCTTTCCTGGTGCTGATGGAAGAGTGTGATTTGTAGAGTGGTATTATCTGTGGGAGTCTGGTTAGCCCCAAAAGACCCATAATGTAAGTAATTCATGGAGAAAATGCAATATGTTTTTAAGTTATAAAGGAGGGATCTCAAGGTGTATGTGGGAGACTGGACAGTTTTGGAAGATGGAATTAAAAAAACTTTCTTACAGGTTTCAGATATCCAAAAAATTATGATATGAATTTTGATATTCCTGAACTTCCCGTGACCTGTACTAATGCTAGGGGGACTCTGATTAAGGAGGTGTTTAAGCAAGGTGAGTTTCATGGTCCTCCGTGCTTTTCAGCAGTAAGTATCCCTGTGAATAGAGTACTGCTGAGGCAGTAGACACTGGTGTTGGGGGTCACTGAGCCCAGCTCTGGGCTTGATGACTAACAGGGAGGATTTCTGGGACTCAAGGTATTGTCATAGCACCGCAGGCTTTATTAAAGTGAAAGAATGCGGAGCAAAGTCAGCAAAGGGAAAAGAAACATGGGCAAAGTCCAGAGGAAACCAAGAGTGCTGTCACATGGGAATCACACAGAGTGCCCTTAATTTCCTAGCAACTGAATGGGACAGCACATGTGAAATGTTTTCCACCAAGGAAGCTGACCTGAGCACAGGAGTCCAGGGTTTGGTCAGAGTTTAGTTTGATAGGCACCTATGCCTAGCACACACCAGACAAAATCAGGGGTTCTGCAGAAATTACATTGCTAGTAAAAAAGAAAAAAGTTTCATTTTTCTTAACTATAAGGAAATACCAAAGGAGGGATACTTCACAAAGAAAGTGATCTATTTAACTTGGAAGGCTGAAAGTCCAAAGTCCTCATGTATTTGACTTTTGGTGAGATCCTGATGACAGATGGCATTGGCAGAAGACTATGTAGGAGGAAGAGATAACACTACAAGACAGGAAGCCAGAGAATGATTGGGTTTCCATGAGAACGATCTCAATCCCTCCCATGGGCAGTGACCTGAATGGCATAAGGATCTCCTACTATCCCACCTGTCTTGGCCACTTTCTGGTAGCTGAGGAAAAAATGCCTAATACCCACAATTGAATGGAGGAGATGTAGCACTTCCTGCATGGCTCTTGAAGTTCCTAGGGGAAGGACAATGAGAGGGTGGGAAAAATAAGGATAAGAGACAAAAGCTGAGGTCAGGTGGATCCCTCTTTCTCCAGATGGGAGGAAAGAAACTGCTCAGTCACCGTCGAGGTGTTTATGTACACATTTGACAAAGTTGGTATCATGTGACACAGCTCTGCCTAGCAACTGATTGCTTGGATTATCTCCTGGCTTGCCAGGGATTGCCTGCCCCAGCACATGTGATCAATTTCCAGCCTCAGCCACTCTCTATGGAGAGGATTATCTTAGCTTCCAGTTTTAGAGGTTTCAGTCTTGAGTGGGCTGGCTCCAAGGCAGCAACAACATGGTGGAAGAGCCGGGTGGGGAGAAAGCAGCCCACATCATGGTGGCCAAAAACACAGCATTACGGGAGGAACTGGGAAGGGAAATAGACCCTTCTAGGTCATGTTCCCAGGGACCCACATCTTCTGACCATGCCCCATCTTCCAGTGGTAGGTTCAGCCATTAACTCATCAGCGTATCAATCTACTGATGAGCACTGCACCCTGTGATCCAAACACTGTCCAAAATCCCCACCTCTGAACACATGCAGACTTTGGAGGACATTCTAACTAAATCATAGAACACCTCTTAAAGAACCAGTCACCTGTCACATCACCACATTGAGGACTAAACCTTCAACATGTGAACCCTTGGGAGACAGTCTGGAAGCAATTTAGAAACTATAGCACCTGGTGCCTGGGTCACCCACAGCAAAGCGCTCAGTCTCTGACTCTTAACTTCCTTCTTTGTACAATTAGAATAACAAAACTTCCCTCCTTATATGCTTATGAAGGAAAACAAAATGACAGACATAAAATACTCTCTAATTTGTAATACAGTACCAATATGCATCTGTCATGATGGATCCTCCCTCTCACATTATAGATATATGGATAACAGTGAGTATAAATGTTTGACTCTTTGCTTGTGTGATTAATTTTTCCCTCTAGCTAACACTTCCATAATGACTATTAACATCAAAAATTGCCATGATCCCAAAGTATGAGAAATAACTGACTGTCTTTAGCTGGAGGAGCAATATTTTACAAGGCAAGACAGATGTGGCAGTAGCAACAGCTCCACTTGGATTCACAGGAGATCAGCATCTGCCTTTCTGAAAACCAGGCTGGATTTATCCTGGAGCACAGAGAAAGGAGGAGAAAGAATGCTGCTCGTTATTTAGGGCCATCAATTTTTATCTACTTTAATATAGTGAAATATTTTAAGCAAATAATATTGGTGGTGATTATTTTCCTTCTCATTGTATGAAGGTTAAAGAAATATACAAATAAGGTGGTGGTGGTGGGGAATCCCTTTTTCCCTTGCTTTTCAGACTGGGTGTGGAGTCCCCAATGTCTGAGAGGAAGCACACGCTCTCTTGAGAAGGATCTCAGTCCAGTGAGCTCCCACAGGATGCCAAGAGGAGGTGTTTTCCCAGACAGGGGTTCAGCTTGTCTTGGTCTTACAGGAGTCTGGAAGAAGAGCATACGGGGTGAGGATGGAAGGTGGTTCACTCCCAGGGAGTTTGAAGTTGAAGGAAACCGTGCATCATCCAAGAACTGGAAACTAAGTGTGCGCTGCCATGGATGGACCCTGAGACAACTGATACAGGTATCAGAAGGACAAGTGGCTTCAAACAAGGATTTTGCTATCCTGATTCACCAAAGTCAAGCTTTAGCAGAATTTCTGTGTCAAGAAAACTCATGATTCCCTTTGCTCAGATCAAAACACAGATGTTATTACTAACAGACCAAGGCATCACCTTGGCTGGTTTATATTACAGCTCAGCCTCCTAAGTCAATTAATTCTTATTCTTTCAAAGACAGGGCAGTAAATTGTGGCCTTAACTATGCTGCTAGTTCACTGCCAAATCTGGTGACATGGGAGCAACTTATATTTAAGGGGATTCCTTAAATTTTGTGAGCCAATATTAAAAGTAGCACCATACAAACAAATAGTGGAAAATAACACATCAACATAAGTAGTCCCTGGGGTGTAGGTAATTTCAACAATATTTTGTTAAGCTATGTCAGTTTCACTTTTTAACAGTTTTTTAAATATTTTTATGTTGCTAGGGATAGAACCCAGGGCCTCACATATGCTAGGCAAGTGCTCTACACTCATCTACATCTTCAGATCCCTCAAATTTTCTCTGGGAAAAGAGTAATAAATTGCATTTTAAATTAACACCTTTTCTCCTCTTATCAACTCCTGACATGGGAAAATCAGGGACAGGTCTCTGTGGCAGGTGCAAGGCTCTTTCTGTCACCCTTAGATCACTCTAACAATGCAGAAACATTTCCCAAGCCTCACCTAAGGCCATGAGAGAGGAAAGCCTGTGGTCCCTGGCCAGGATAAGGCTGCACATTCACACCCAGACTGCAGTGCATCACTTCTGCAGGAAGAGGTGTAGGAGCTCCAGGATGGGAAGGTCACTTCCGGCTTAGAGGGTGAGGACACCTTCACAGAGCAGTTTGCCCTGAGCTGGGTCTTACTGGAGAACAGCTCCAATGAGGCAAAATTTAGAACAGGACATTCTACGTACAGAGAAAGTGTGGCATGAAAAGCTGCTCCTCAATGTGTCAAAAGGTGGGAATAAGACGCCTTTCATCTGCTGAGTTGTTTGTGGCAGTCCCAAGGCCACAAGAGTCTAAACGCTTCCACAAATCACTGCAAAGCATGGAAAATAACCTTCATGAAGGCACCGTGACTCCGAGTTCACAGTGAGAAACCCAGGCTGAAATACCTGGAAAGCAACCAGAAATGCCAGGCTTACCAAACAAAAAGACCCACCATTATCACCAGTCTCTTCTCTCTTTCAGAAGGGAGCCCTACCAGAACCCCCAAGCAAAAAACCAAAGGTAATTATCCCATGACCTTTTGCCAGCGTCTCATCCATCACCTTGCTGATTCTCCTGCTCTGTAGCCATATAGTGTTTAAATTGACCACTCCCCCAAAAATTTGATTTTATAATATGGTGCTGTTGTAGTTACTGCTTTCAAACGTAACACAGCATAAAAGGCCAAAACTTCTTCCATCATGAAAACATGTGTGGTAGAGGTGAGAAGAAGCCTTAAAAATAGATCATAAGATAGAGCTGGCCTTGTATGCTTGTTAGTAAAAGACCCAAACGCCATGCTCTCTTACCATTAAATATAAAAGGTGGGGCTGAAACTGGGAAGACAAGCACAATTTTGAAATATACAAAACAATACACTTAATGACACCCATCTTTGCAACCTCAGTTTAAACCCTGATTGTGTTTCCTTGTTTTTATCTTGGTTCTATCTTTAATAAAGTAACAACAGAGCACAGGTGTTCCTAGAAACAGCCTATGGGCACTCCAGATAACCTAATGTAAAATTCTCCTTGGAATGTACATCTCCCAGGAAAGCAAATAACAAAAAGCAGAATTTTTTCCTTTCCTTTCTATCTTTCCTGCACTAAACACACACACACACACACACACACACACACACACACACATACACACACACACACACACACAGAGCTGATCAAGGAAAATTTTTTCCTTGAGTCACACCTGAGATAATAGTGATTGCAGGCAGAAGAACCCCATAAGGCAGAGACCATCTCTGATGGGTTTGAATGTATCCACAAAGCTTCAGATGTTGAAATTTCATCCCTACTGTGAGGGCGTCAAGAGGATGGAAAAATCAGTGCAACTATAGTGTTAATAGGTGGGGCCTGTGAGGGGTGATTAGAATTAGGACATCGTGGCTGGATATTAGTGGCTTTTTCTTTTAAATTATGATAAATTTATTTTTCAGTTTCATGTTAAAATACAACCAAATTTCATAGCGAGATAAGAGAATAAGGATAGTTAATACAGTAATATCTTAAAAGTGGTTCCTCAGAATATAAGACACAGGGCTGGGGATATAGTTCAGTGGCACAAGTGCTGCCTGGCAAGCGCAAGATCCTGAGTTTCATTCCTGGTACCAAAAAAAAAAAAAAGTAAAGGAAATCAGAATGTAAAATAGAATTGGGGGTGTAATTGTGGAGTAGTTGAAAGACCAACACGGAAAAACAGCCTCCAGGGAGAGGGGAAACCCTCAGAGACACAGAGGAAAGCTGCGCTGCCTCCGGGAAAAAAAAAAAAAAAAAAAAA